ATTAAAAGAAGAAATACATGAATAAAAAGTTACGGTGCAGTTTAAGATGTGAATATTTCACACAGGAGTTCCACTTTACTGATGCCTTTTTAGCGAAAGAGTCTTTCAAGACATCCGCGGCTAAGGAGTGAAGCAGAAGGAAGTGTTGAACAGTGTTGTGTAAAGTACAAATTCTCCGTCAGCTACATGAAAGTAAGAACACCTGTCGTCGGTGAAACGCCCCTCCTTACTTTGACGTTGTCTGATTATATAATCATATGCGCGGGCCACTAGTGTCTGTTGATCTCCAGATTAACAGCAGCATGAGAATAACCTGCCGAAAGTGCCGATGCTCCATGGCGGAGGCTCCGCTAGAAATTGCCGGGATTTGCGTTTTTACCCCCTTAATATCTGACCAATGGTTGAACAGCATTTCCGTGGACATGACTTGTGTTTAAAGTTTATAGTCCGTTTGAGTTTTGCCCGAACGCAAACCGAACCTTCTGAAAAATGAAGCAATGTAACAAACTGTGGTCTGGTGCGCACCAGAGAGCGGACTATTAGGTGTAAATGCACCCTAAATGTGTCTGTCATCCGCATAACTATGGTAACTTATTTTTATTGTTTTTCATTATCTGATACAATTTTTTTTTTTTGTATAAATTCTTAGTGAAATTGATACTGTTGACTCAGTACTACTTGGACTACTCCCACAAGTACAATCAAGTATTTTGTATTTTTACTGTGTACTTTTTCAGTAATCCCCTGTCAAACTCCCATCCAGAGTACAATAATGCATGTTCCCAGCGATTACCGTAAAGCTAACCAGATTTAAATAAAAGACTGGGTGAAAACCAGGTGAAAACATGCAAGTGCACGACTTTTATAAGGGCGAATATTGTGTAAATCTGTCCAGCTGTTGTAGCCTAGTATATCTTTATCATTCACAGTAAAACGCGCAGGGGCTTTTCTTTGGGTGTGTTCTGCTGCACAGCACTCAGGTAATTACGGTAATGATCCCGTTCTCCGGTTTTCCCGTTTTCCCTGTGGCCCTATTGAGTGAGTACTAGCGGAGTCTGCCTGCTGCCTGCTTGCCTGCCTGGGAATTTTAAAGCACATCAGCGGCCACTGCCATGGCTGAACGCCGCGCCTTCGCCCAAAAAATCAGCAGGTAAATGACTTGAGACCCCGAAACGAGCTGGTTTAAGGCCCACTGAGCCCCAATGTAGGTTGCTGTCAGACCCCCACTGAGGGGACCCTGTGGAGGAGGCCCGGACAGCAGCATAGCCTGGCTGCTAGCCGCTTGTTAGCCATATCGGCAGAGATGCTCAGACCCACCCAGACAGAAAGGGACACCGCTAGCTGCTAGTCTCTCACACCCCTACAGGCGCAGAGGAGCAATATGTAATAATGTTATAATACATGTATAATGCCAAAGCCGTCCTTTGGTTTTGAGTTATTATACGCAGCGAAAATGATCTAGTGTGAACTGAAAACCGATCATTTTGGACAATAAACGCTAGCTATCGTCCATACAGTAGCTAACGATGGGGGGCTAGGTAACGTTACTACTGGCCGAGATGAGACTGAACTTTGTTGACTTATGTTTTGATCAAGAACCCACTAATAAGGGGGAGCAGATGATTGTTATACAGGAAGACTGGAAACAAAAGACCCCCCCTACAGCTATTACATTGCGATGTATTAATCTCATCCACGCCCGTCAGACAGATCAAAGTAATCTCTTTAACAAAGGGCTTTGTGCTAGCTGTCAAATACCTTCATCCCAAGCAATAGGTAGATAAACAGATATATGAATGGATGCTAGATATAAACAATGATAGACGTTGAGGCTTATATCGTTATTAACTGCTGTCTCTAACAGCCATCCACATACAAATGCTTTGATCGCTGTCATTGTTGATCTTTATTATTGTCAATTAATGTATGGCTAATAATGATAATATGTGTCTATTTTGTATGCAAATGAAAACAAATGCAATGCATATGATATGTTATATTAATTTCCTTAAAAAAAAAAAGTTTAACTTTATGAGCCCAGTTTATTTACCTGGTAGCTACTATTACAGTGTTGAATGAGTTCCCGACAGTTTCTTATTGAAATATGCAAATTGAACACCTCGTGGTTGGTTAACATCAGAACAGACCATCCCATCAGACAGAGATGCTAACTTTTTTAATTTTTAGATGATCAAAATCATCCTCTAATTGGTTGTTTTGATCCTAGCCAACTTGGATATCTTTAGTAGATTTTATTGTTATTGCTGCTAAATGCTATATTTCCAAGAAATGTATTAGCATCTGGTAAACACAACATTTGAAGTGTTGCTATTGCATGCTTCTTATTGGAGAAACACATTTTTACAGATCTGTCACTTAAATACACTAATGAATTAGGCAACAATAATGTGTGAGTGTTAGTTTAATAATACTTGATGTACTCTAGGACAACCCTTCTATCCAGTAACACAGTTTAAAAAACGATGGACTCATAATTCCCAAGAAATATAAGGCATTACCTTTCTGACACAGTTACAAGAGGAAAGTATAAATTATAACCTTCAAAAATGTGCTTTGCTGTTGTATCATACTGCAATTAATGCTCTTAGTGAAGTCTCAGTGAGTTGTATCAACTGTCCGAATATGTGCAGCTGGCTTCTCACTGAGACTCTCCTAAATAAATAAAGGTTACTCTCAGATTAGCCACAACACCGTTGTCCTTGCTCATGTTATTAATTTATCAGTTAAAAAGCAAGTGCCTTTATTATATCTGTTTAGTCATGCTGACATTAAGTAATAGAAGAGAGTGAACATATGTAACATATTAAGGTAAATTACGCAACTTAAAAAGTCAGAGGCTTTGTGTAGAAGGTTAATATCTCAGTTGAATGATTCTCATATTATGATATTTGACATCAGTTTATATTATATTTTCCCTGAGAGTCATTTGTGTTACCATTTTGAGGAGATGGCCTCAAAAGGATGTTTATTAAACCAAGTTATTCCTCTGTGTGTTGACCAGTGCTAAGTGAAGGTCTTCTGACAGGCATTGGGGAGAACTGTGGAATGTGTTTGTGGGTTCAGTGCTGTTGCTTTTCTCCACTAGCGATAGTGCTGCAATGCTGAGGCCACTGGATCACTACTACAGTATATTATTGAGAGTATCTCAAAATGGCAAATTGCATCATTCAGCTGTCATTGTAATGTTCTGCTTAAGACAATAAGCTCCTTAACGTCATCTAGTTTGCAACCTTGTATTTGTAAGATATAAGGTTGTTGTAATCAGCACTATAGTGGCTTTAGTGAAACCAAAACCTGTGAGACGTTTACAGTACTACGCCCTGGCTGATGTGATCACACCTAATCCTCGCCCATCATTACTGTGATCATGGTTAAGAGTTTAAAAAGTAAGCTCTAAACTAGTTATTATGATTTTTCTTTCAGGAAGCAGATTAAAGAAAGGCAGGGAAATGGGTAAGATGGTTTGTTATTATATTAGTATAATGCAATTAGTTTGTAAATCATAATTGTTGGATCCTTATAGTCTTGTTTATACCTGTGTAACTTCACCTTGAGTCCTCAGTGTCTGGTTTTTATCCTTGGTTCTTATTTGTTATTTGTTTGTGTCACTTTGGACTACTTGCTGCGTTGTTGTTTTGTTCAAGGCAAAGGTCTCTGAGTGGTTTTGGTGTTTGCTGTGATTTAAAGGACCTGTGTATGTGTATGACAACAGCAGCGGTTGAACACCTAGACATTTTTGCTTACCACTGGAGTCCAGAGGTTTTCATTTGTGTCTTTCTTCTCTGTCTCGGTGTAATATATGACATGATTCTGTCCAAGGAGACACAAAAAGAAAAGCCTAAAAGGACAGGAAGTGGTAATGTTAGTCGGCGTCTGCTTTGAGATTTGCAAAATCAAGCAGCATGAAAAAGTGTCATAACACCTCTCCTATACAGTTTCAAATACTGAACCGAACAATGCTAGAATATTGAATAACACTTGCATCACAGTATTCAATTAAAGTATGAGGTTACATTGGCTTTGAACTGTTCAGTTAGTTTTAGTTTTCTGTTTATTCTCAGCCATATCAGAGGGACAAATACCACAGTTTTCATACTACAGTGGCACCACAGCCTCGCAGCACTGATTATACCTCATTTTATTTCAATATTGGTTATAAAAAAATGACCTGTATACTGACCCCTAGTAGTATTAAAGCTGTGTAGTGCTATAGTATGTTTTTTGTGATCCTCAGCCCTAAATAAAAGCCCTAATTAGGCTAGCATGTATCTTTGACTAATGTGTAGATCATGACCTGGACTGTAAAGATGCACTGTCTGTATTCACTCTCTCCTCTGGTTGCAGGACTGTGGCAGCAGAGGTGAGGAAGCAGATAGCTGGCCAGTATGGAGGCTCCCCACAACTCTTCAAAAACATCAACGTTGGGGCCACAACAACCAACACAGTGAGTCTTCTCAAAGACCATGTAAAGACCACAGCCTAATATCGACATCCTGTCTCTGATCATAATCATACAAGTGTGACAGCTGATGCTGCTGCATTGTCTGAAACTGTTTAGATACTGTTGATTTTTCACATTTGCCCAAGTGCATTTCTGGTGTTTGTTATGTTGGGAAACAAACGCCCAAGATGAGGATCTGTCTGCTCACAGGCCGTTGTGTGTTTTGCTGCAAAGAAATCACATACTGGGCTAGATGGACATGCTGTGATGAAATTAAGATTTGGAATATACTATTTATCTAACCACTATTTTAAATATCTGCGTTTTTTTAAGCGTTCAGATATTCAAATATTATATATATCAAATATTCATTCATCCATTCAGCACCATTGCATATTTTTCAATGGTACAATGCTCAAGCAAATGCAATATTTATCAATGTGGATATCTGCTGTGCACCATACTATTACAACCTAAGACAATGATGTCATATTATGTATTGTAATGGCCAAAAAGCTGTTGTTTACGTCTTGCTACCACTGATTGGCCTGGTCACCACATCCAGTCATTCTGCAGTGTTTGTGCAGTAAAAAATGAAAGAGGTCAGACAGTGTTTGTTAAAGGGGCCGTGTCAATTGCCCCTCAGCAGCCCTGAGCAACAACACTAGCAAACACTCCCCCTCTCCTCCTTAATTAAGCTACTGTTGGCTTTTAATTAAACTGTGAAAGGTTATTGTGTCCAAATTCCTCTGGAGGAGAGAGGGGGACACAAACACACAGACACATTCACACTTAAACTGAATCTGCCAAAACAAATATTCCCCTTGGGTTTATTATATGAGAGGCAGAGAAAGAGCCATGAAACAATTAGTCTGAGCTGGAAGTGGCAGACTAATCTGGGAACTTCTTAAAAAAATCGCACATGAACACATGGTCTTAAAACTCCAACTGGAGACTCGTAGACTTTACCAAGGCACTTATGTACAATAGGCAAGGTGCAGACAGGATAGCTGATGGTGTCTTTACAGCGAATGATCTTTTACTTGTCATCTCCCACCAGGTTCCCCTCACAGAGGCGGTGGAGCCGGTGGATTTTGAGGAGTACCTCATCACTCACCCTCCCCTCGTTGAGTCGGGTCCCCTCAGAGATCTGATCGAGTTTCCTCCAGATGATATTGAAGTCATCCACACACCCAGGGAGTGTCGCACAGTGGCGCAAGCCGTCCCAGAGGAAGGGTAAGGGTGCTAGTAGCTGGTGTTAAAGTTCAGTCTTGCTCCATATGTTTCAGTGTAAGTATGGTTAGGAGCTGAAATGAAGTAACACATGTATACAAAGCACATTATTTATATTAACTGGACAATACAAGGATTAGAAAACAATTGTTTATATATTCAATCTTCAAATTTTAATAGCAAATCACAACGTTTATATATATTTTTTTTTAATTAGATACAAACCTAAAAACGTACAAAAGTCTGACTGTTGCTATTTAAATAAAGCTTGTTTGATGAATTGGGTCTGTCTGGTTGCAGGGACACTGACACTCATGTCAGAGACTGCGTCAGATCCTACACAGAAGACTGGGCTATCGTCAACAGAAAGTAAGGCTTCACCAGATTTCACATTTGAACTCTTTAGAATTCAAATGTAAAATAGTATGACTTTGGTTGAGAATTCATTTGAAAGAAATGACTGCTTTAACCTCAGATACCACAAGCTTGGCACAGGGTTCAACCCTAACACTCTGGACAAGCAGAAGGAGCGTCAGAAAGGCCTGCCCAAACAAGTGTTCGAGGCCGATGAGATGCCAGACAACAGCAGCTACCAGGATGAGCAGGTACCAGGTCAAATAAAAAAGAGTTTACCAAAATACTGTTCATGCGGGTTGGCCTGCATGTTACACTCATTTGTTTTGTGTTGTATTGTCCTGTAGGATGACCTGAAGCGCCGGTCGATGTCTATAGATGACACCCCACGCGGCAGCTGGGCCTGCAGCATCTTTGACTTGAAGAACTCCCTCCCTGACGCCCTCCTCCCTCACCTCCTGGACCGTGCCGCCAATGAAGAGATAGACAGGCACAATGAAGAGCATCGCAAAGCCCACCGCCACCGCGAAGTCTTTGCTCTGCACCCTGCCCTGGATGAGGTAGAGTTCACCTATTCACTTAGCTGGAACCTTTATTGGTGCATATAAATGTAAAATGTTTGTTATTCTGTCCGAGTAAGCCAATGAAGTCAACATTTAAAACCATTCCCATGATGTGTGTAATTGTCTTTGAAATCCAAACATAGACATACAGAACATAACAGTGTTGAAGATCATTTTACCTGATTTTCTTTGTATACAATCTTCTCTGTGGATTTGTAGGAGGAGCCCATTGAGCGCCACTGTGTGCCTGAAGTACCCAAAGAACACCTTGGCCAAAGGCTACTCGTCAAGTGCTTGTCCTTGAAGTAAGTGTTGGACAGCGTTTAAAAAAAAAAGCCTTTTTGCACTTTTATTTTACTGCGGCTTTCTGCTGACCCACTCGTTTTTCTCTCCCCTTGAAGGTTTGAGATCGAAATTGAACCGATATTTGCTAGTTTGGCCTTATACGATGTCAAGGAAAAGAAAAAGGTAAGCTGTTATGCTTTCCTCAGTCTTCTCAGCCCTGAGTTGTTGGGTCACTTTTGCAAACCATTAAAATTGTTGGGTAGCCACAATGAATTTGATGAGTAGACTATAACATTTTATCTGGCCCTGTTATGTTTGTGGGACTGCAGTTAAATCATACACTGGAACCATGTATCTTTCTAAAGAAGACCATCCACTGCCGGTTCCTCTCCACCTCCTTTTAGCTGACAAACACTAGAGGGTAGCAGTTGCCTTGATAAGTAGATCTCTCATATATATTGCTCTGCACAGGAGCTCTATTACTTTACAAGTGGGTCATTTGTCAAGGAAATGTTATCATGTTTGTCGGCCACCTTGAGCAGGAAATCAGGCTGCAGTAACACAGCCAGTAACTCAAAAAAAGGCTACTGTTTTTCATGGTTTGGTCATAGGATTACATTAGCACATGTGTTATATCTATGTTATAATCAACTGTGTGTCTGTTTGAATGGGTTCCTCAGATATCGGAGAACTTTTTCTTCGACCTGAACTCTGAGCAGACAAAGGGAATGCTGCGTCCGCACACTCAGACAGCAGCCATCTCCACGCTGGCCCGCTCCGCCATATTCTCCATCACCTACCCCTCCCAGGATGTCTTCCTTGTCATCAAGGTCAGTTATGATATTATTTCCTCAGAATTGTCTTGCAAATAAATGTACGAGTAATAATATCATATTTCCAAATATAGGAAAAACCTTATTTATTTATTTTTTTACTTTTCGAGGATACAAAACACTTGTAGGGTAGTTTTGTGGGTGAAGATTCCCACAGATATTTTCAGTCTTAGCAAGTGCAGTAATCAAACCTTTTAAAAGTGACAGTAACGGAGGAATTATTTTTCTGAAATGTTTTTGTATGGTTTTGCTAATCGTTAATTCCTTCATGGCAGCAAAACGTGTTACGCGAGCCGTTAGAAACTTCTGAAGTTTAAACCTGAAAAACGACCAATATTTGATGCTATTATCAAAAGATCTTAAAAAAGACTTTTCTTGCAGAAGTGAATTACAAAAGACAGTGTCGTCTTATTTGTGAGCCAGTACTTTAGTATAAAATATGATTGGCTTTTATTTGCCTGTTGATTGTATGTGCTGTATGATCTTTTTGTTGCTGTGTTTGAGGGAAGTGACTAAGTTGTTTGTGTTGTGTCCCCAGCTGGAAAAGGTACTGCAGCAAGGGGATATTGGAGAGTGTGCTGAGCCCTACATGGTTTTCAAAGAGTCCGATGCTGCAAAGGTAGGATCAGGGTGAATTAAATGTTGAAATGCACCTAAAACATTTTGAGGCTAATATAATAATCCTCATACAGATAATGCCTTTTATCCAAAATGTTATCCACATATTCATCAACGTGTCTTTTCCTGTAGAATAAAGAGAAGCTGGATAAGCTCCGCGGACAGTCAGAGCAGTTCTGCCAACGGCTTGGCCGCTATCGCATGCCTTTCGCCTGGACCGCCATCCACCTGATGAACATTGTGAACAGTGCTGGCAGCCTGGAGAGAGACACGGAGCTGGAGATGAGCCTCTCAGGTGGGACATTTCACTTTGAACACATCCCTTTGGGTGGTAACTTTAAAAACACCGTATGCATCAAGTGCGGAGGACAAAGAAAACCTTGGTGAATGTTTTTGCCGACTCACTGTCTCAATGTTGCAGTTCTCTGGGGGCAGAAAAAAATAGACATGGGAGTCACACAGGAAGATCATGGGCTCAGTCAATCCCACACTGTAAAATCTTTATCTAAAATCAACTTTACAACTACAGAGATCAAAACATCCAAACCAGACAGCGATCCATATTGTTCCCTGGTGAGCTATTTTGAGTTTGACCTTTGGTGTTTGTCTAACCTCCGACCTCACAAGGTGTCTAATGCTGACTGTGGTGGCTGCGTGTTCGCTGGATGACAGATAGAAATGTATACACGCTCTGACACGTGGGAAAGAAATGTGGGATTATTTGTGAGTCAAAGTGAAATCTGTCGACATTCAAAATGTAAACAATTAAAAAGCTTTTATTGTTGTTTTCCCGGTATTTGCAGAGAGAAAAGGCTCGTGGTCAGAACGGAGGAACTCCAACATCATGGGAAGGCGTTCTCTGGAGAGGACCACCAGTGGAGACGAGTCATGCAGTCTGACAGGCTTTAGACCTGCAACACTTACCATCACTAACTTCTTCAAACAGGTCTCCACAATCACATATGTTATTTAGTAAATAATATATCATACACTACTCTGCTTTGTCATTTTGTTTTGGATTTTTACACACTGCACATGTGTGTTTTAGGAAGGGGACAGACTGAGTGATGAGGACTTGTATAAGTTCCTAGCTGACATGAGAAGGCCTTCTTCCGTGCTGAGGAGACTCCGACCCATCACAGGTACAAACTACATTTGAGTTCTTGATGCCCTTGATTATCATCTCGAACCAGTGTTCCATTGAATTGCTGGAAAAATGTAACAATTGAAAAACGTTTTCTCTTTCCTCTCTTCCCCGTTTACCCAATGACTCCCGTTCTGTCCTCTGTGACTGCCACCACAGCCCAGTTGAAGTTGGACATTTCTCCAGCTCCAGAGAACCCTCACTATTGCTTGACCCCTGACCTTCAGCAGGTCAAACCTTACCCAGACAGCCGGGTACGCCCCACCAGGGAGATCCTCGAGTTCCCTCCCAGAGACGTCTATGTGCCAAACACCAAATACAGGTACAGAAAAACTACGCGTGTGTTTCCTATCTTTCTGTTTAGTATTTTCATTTGTTAAGATAAAGCATTATTGTCAAAACGATTGCAAAAACCAAAGGCTGTTTTATCTGATTTGACATTCAGGACTAGCCTAATTTGCTTACAAGTGGATTAACACGTGGATTAACACATGCAAATATTACATTTAATCAGTTATTGTTGTCTAACTTCACGGCCCATTCTTGGTATTATGTGTTAAATGATCTGTGGACTACTACAGAGGGATATTCTTACTGTTTATTCAGTAAGAGATGACATTCTCAATCAAAGCCAAAACACACATTCACTGTGCAGAATTCAAGATTTGCACAGTGAGGACTGCCACTGTGTTTGTTAATGTTCACCTGGTGTAATGTGGCGGTGTTGCATCTGAACTGCTACAGTATATCTGTCAAGGTCATTTTGAGGGATGTCTTTAATACCGGACGCTGGTGCTGACAAGGCCAGTGGTAGCCTTGCTGTTTATCTGCAGATAACCGTACGCCTCCTTTTTGTAGATTAACTAATGCCAGACATAATTGAGAGCCAGCAGCACTGGGCGAAAGGAAACATACTGCATACTTGCATTTTTTATTCTGATGTGAAAGTTGATTGATAAACCTTTCAAGCATAAATAAATGGCAGCTATACTTTATGAGGTCATTGAACCTGAACAGTGATTCTGGAGAGTACAGGCCTTAAGCTGAAAAACATGCCACTTTCTTTTATACTTTGAACTATCACATAGCAGATAACAGCTATATGAAAGCAAGTCCAATTTTTAAGGGGGCTTTTACATTTAGAATTTCTGCTATTATATTGTGTAAGCCAATTTAATACTGCACAACCCACAAGATCGTCAGATCACTATAACCTACACAGCTTGCTGTCTTGAAGTTTGTGAGGTTTCCACACTAAATGACTGACCTTAAAGAGCAACACATTACAAAATCATTTTCCATATGGAATGTGATGGCAGCATTTCACCTTCATGTAACACTAAGATTATATGAAGGCCATTTATTGGCATTCATTTTCTTTTCCTCCTAAATGTATTTGGTTTAATACAAAGTTATAAATCAACACACTATAAAAATGTACTTGTGAATTGGTCATTTATTCAAGATCTTTATTTTGACTTCATGAATATGAGGATGTGTTGGTATGAGGAACAGTTAGAGTACAGTTAGTTATTTTGTTATGATGGACAAGAGTCAATATGACTCGATAACAGGAAATGTATGGAAATTATATTTTTCTAGCAATGCCATCATAAATCATTTAATAGCATGAGTATAGTTTAAATACTTAACATAGTAAAAAAAACACAGAACAAACAAAGCAAGAAAAACTCATCAGTCTGCAGCCAAAGCTTTGTACCTCCACTTTTTGTACTATATATAACTGCTGACGTGCCGCTACTCGACAGATTGTTTTCCATGAAACTAGCGATAAAACAAGAAACAATAACAACATTTTCACTGCAAAAAAGTCACAAGCAGTGACAGTTTTTGAGATGCTGGAGGTGCATTGTTTCTCTTGAACATTGACTTATATCATTCCGATGCCTTATGTCATAAGTGTTGGTATTTCTGTCTTTAGCTCCTGGGAACATGCAAAAGCTTCACATCACTAAGATAATAAACATTTTTTAATAACTCAGTAAACAAATAGCTATTAAATACATTTAGGTTCACTGAAATGATAACCAAGAAAGTGTATAGAGTTGCTTAATAATCTCTCCTCACAGTTGTCTTTCCTACTTTAGTACTGTGGCCTTTTGCAGGCGGCACTGAATCAGACTGCTGATGTGGATCAATATGTCCATTTAGTCAGTGATTGCAGATGTTGCATAATGACACAACTGTCCTTGCTGGGTCACACCCAATAGGTCAATGACCTGTGTGACATGGTTGCATCATTGAGACAGTGCAGCATTTTCTGGCGTGTTACATTTTGGCCTGTTATCTATTGGCTGGCACCAAACCTCTGACAAAACGCTGTTAAGATACAATCCGTTTAATAAACTAAAAATGTGTCTGTGTTACTACACTTTCCACATCTATAGAACTTTTTGTCTGAGCATTAGATCTTATCAGTGTTTGTATACAAAAAAGGTTAGTAGTGTGAAAAGGTAGGATTTGACGGGTTCACTTGAAGCCATCAGCTGCAGGGGCCGATCGTAGGGTCATCTTGGTCGTCTTGAGTGAGTATGAGGGCCCTGTGCCAGGCTTCCAGTGGATGCCCTTCCTCCTCATAGAGCGTCCTTTTGCCCTCAACCACAAATACCGTCCATTAAGGTTGGTTTCTCTGCAAGCATTAAACCACCAACCACCTGCCAAGGGGTCAGGACGAGAACCATATGTTTTAGAACAACACTCTTTACTACCAAAAAAACATTTCTGATTCAGCTTGGTAGAATGCTTACCTGTGTAACTGCGAGAGCAGTTGGAGTTTCGGTGGTTTTCATTATTTCTGTCCGTTGTGGAGAACCTCATGCCGGTGCTGTTGGCCATGGCATCAGGCAGGTCACCAGAATAGTTGCTGACATACAGGCTGTAGCCCATGGAGGGACCCTCTAGTGTGAAGCTGTACTCAGCCCAGTGGTTCCCCTCCTTCCAGTCCTCCAAGTCAACACGCAGGACGTAAGCTCCCTGCTGTGTGAAGCTGTGGATCTTCTTTAGGCCCAACCAGAAGTTCTCTGCATAACACAACAACCCATTTGATATCTTTGTAGGATAGCTATTATTTGAAAACACATGCCTATTTTGTCTGTTTGCAAGGAATCTCTAAAGGTTAACGATGGGTTTGTATAGAACCTTTTTTTTTGGTGGGAAAAGTCTCTTTGCACAATTTACAAAGGATTACAAATCAAATGAAATTGGAAATGCGCTGGCTTATACTTTTTCCTAGTATTGATAGTTTCTCTCTCGTAGCTATTTAATTCTATCATTTATCAGTCATACTTTGTCTCTTATAAGCTTAAAGAAACTCATCTGTAATCAGAGCAGACAGGCACGTCCAAACACTAGTTTCCATTTGCCCTTGTTGGACTGCTGCATCAAACTATACTTTTTAACAATTAGTTTGTTAGTAACAATTGAATACCATGCCTGCAGGAGCCGCTACGGTGGAATGTTACATGACTGTGTCTATGAAATGATTCAGTCTGACTCAGTAAGTGCTGCAGGGAAAGCTTTGGTTCAGGGTTGATACGTAGCAATCACTATTTCCTATAACCAGCCCAACAGAATGTTATTGCAAATGTACTATTGTACATATGACAAGTGAAGATAGGTCTAAATTGAAATGTGTATAGTTTTGGCAAAGGGTAACATTTCCATATTTGAAGTAAATATACTCACTTTCCAGATCTCCAAAGCCTTTTTCATATTTCTCCCATAGCTGTTCAAAATCCAATGAATCATCGACCCTGCGTTGGATAACAGTTGACCCCCCGTCTGTAGAATGGATTAACACAATTCAAGTCCGGTTACTCTTGTACAAGCCACAGAAAAGTTTACACAAGGATCAGGAAGCCTCCTTTTGATAGATAACGTCAATGGGATAAAACCCCATTATTTGCCCTTATAGATAACCCCTTCCTGTGGCTATCTAGCTAGATAACCTTTGGTTTTTTGGTCCTTGTTGATTTAAAAAAGTGCAACAATTGCATAATTTCATTGTTTAAATACAAGTGTTTTCTGAATAAAGAAACAGTATATGATGTTCTCATTTAGTGCTTATATTACTATGGTCTTACCCACCTGAACCCATTTCGCAGTAAACCTTGAATGGTTCAGATTCGCTTGGTTTGATGACATAAATTCCACTGTTTGCCTCTCCTTTGGTAAACAACTCACTGCAGTCCCTTGGCAGGTCTGAAACACAATTAAGAAAATCAAAATGAGTGCTTACAAATGTGTGTTCTCTTTTTATTTTCAAGACATTTCATATTCATCTCAACAACTTAAAATGACTGATAATATTTTTTAAATATCTTTACCATTCACATCTAGGTCAGTTGAGTTTCCTGTCAGATATTCAAACATGTCTGCAGGGACTGAATCCATTGGCTTATCGATTGCATCCTGAAAGCTGTCATAGTTAAGCTGCAAGACAATGGAAATACGATCTGTGAAGTCTAATGAGGTTGTCAGCTTGAAATAGCAGAGTTTCCCTCCACATGGTCATTTGTCATTTTCCCATAAAGCAACATTTGCATAGATAACATTTAGGATCTAATTACGTTCTCAAAGTTGGCAAAATGTAGTGAAAGCATTTAGAACAGTTTTCTACCTTTTCCTCCAGTCTTTTAATGTTGGTTTTCTGGTTGTCGAGCTGATCATGCTGCTCCTTCACAGCTACCAGCAGATTGTTGATTGTTTTCTCTTGTGATTCAATGACTTCCTGGAAATACCACAATAAAAACATTTATTGTCCATGCAACATGTGGGCGAATATCAGTTTGTCTTTAGTATTTATTTTCTTTATTGCGTAGAACTTATCAGTAACACAATTGAAAACAAGAGAGAATAAGTCAAACTAAAACACACAACTTATTTATAACTTTGCTTTTCTATTGTTGGTAACAATTGTATAGCCTGTCTCATTATTGTTATATTTACATCATCTTAGTGGAGACACTGCAACAGATGGTTTATCAATAATCTGTATTGTAATTACAGTAACAGATCATGGTCATAAAACAATGTATGTTTTTCTTGGACCCATTGCTTTTTCTGAGTGAGGAGTCATTTAAGTGTTGTGTTGATGTTATTCAATTTAGTAAAGTTCAACAAATGCATTTCCATTGATGGCTGGATTTGAGTGAAACTTTTTAAGCCGTTTTCTTTTGCTTGCTTTTATCTTTTATATATATGCGGAAATCACCCACTAACTGACCCAATCTTGAATGAGGAACTCTATGAGCTGCTTACCCTGAGTGCTGTGATTTCGCTAAGCTGCTCAGCGGGGATAATCCTCTGCGACAGTCCCTGCAGTCGCTCCTCCAGGTTCCCCACTTTGCTCTGCAGCTGGGTACGCTCCTGAAGGATGCCGTTGATCTTAGAGTTGATTTCCATGGACAGGTTCTTAATCTCCTCATTGTTGGTCTTCAAGAAACTGGTGGTCTTCTTCAGTTCCTCCTCTTCCTCCTTGATCTCAGAGGTTACCACTGAGAGCTGGTAGAAGGAGCGGTCGAAAATGTTCAACTTTTGGAAGATGTCGTTGATTTGGCCCTTAGTTTTGTGCACAAACTCCCGTAAACTCTGACCTAGCTGAAGGAGGCCGTTAGCGAGTAGACGAACATCGTCCAGCATAGCAAAACGAGACTTGGCCTCGGCTGGGCTCGCTGCAGTGGTGAGGGCAGAGGTGGGCACGGTGGTGGACTGAGCCCTACCTGAGGTCACCAGGGGAACGGTAGAAGATGAAATAGAAAGAAGCAGCAACAGACAATAAAGCTTCATCGTGACGTTCTTGTCCAGTCCTTGAATATGTTCTAACGACTGCTCCTGCTTTCCTCTACTCAGCGCTCCTTTCTCTCCCTCTGCCTCTAACCCAGACCTCCTTGCTGTTTAAATGAAGTGAGCAGCAGGCTGCCCCGTGTTATATACTGCTCTCCCAGTAGAGGAGGTGGGGATTAGTTGATCATTACTATGTTTTAGCTCTGTACCCCACCTCCTCCCAAATCCCCCTCGAGCCCTCCCTCTCTGAACAAACAAATCACAGCAGTGAGCGAATGACATATGCACCCCACCCCCCTTCTGTACTACCCATTTAACCTCAATCCCCTCTCCATACCACACCCTGCCTACCCTGTTCTCTATCTGTGGTGCAGAGCTTTAGCTGATCAGCAGAATGCCAACAATGGCATCACAGGTTTTTGATGGATCGTCACTCTGATCAATCACCAACCTTATAACCCTGCACACGCACATTGCTCTGATTGATATTGCTGTGTGTAATTAATGCTCCCGGGTTTGATTTAACAGCGTGCTGAATCAGCCCAGCACCAGGCTCTCTCTCTCTCTGTCTGACTGTCTCGCTCTCTCTCTCTCACCCTCCCTCCTTACACTCTCTTTATGTGGGGAGGAAGTGAGCCTGTCATTAGTGCCCGGGTTGTGCTTCTAGGCATGAATGATGTTGGAGAGTTTGGACAGTGTGTACTCATCATCTCTGTTTTATTGCTCGGCTTCTTTAAGTTTGTCATGCCTTGTGTGATCATTTGTAATGCCACCACACATGAGATGGGGAATATAGTATCCTGATGAGCTTGGAGGTTTCAAAGCAACTTTCCATTGCTCTTAGTCATGTCGTAAAATTACAATCTTTATGGGAAATTCTTAGTAAGTTGTTTCACGCAGACCTGCAATGTTGGTGAAATATGTCCACCTTCAGCCAGGCAGGGGGGGAGGAGGTAATCAGCCAAATGACTTGGTGTTGTATTTAATTGGAATATAAATATTTACTATTGTGGCACACTGTGCTGCTGCTTCCACAACCCCTGAAGTAAGCATGTCCTGCTCTGCGGCGTGGCAGCGCAAAGTAATCATAGCATTTAATGACTAATCAAGACTCAAAATTGGTTCTCCAACTTTTACTATTTTTCTTTTTCTTAAATTATATTTCCATTCATCAGTCACTTTGTGTAGCCAAATACCTTGTCATAAACAGCAAAACATACTGGAATATTTGGCTTTGATTTCAAGTGGAAACATTTTTGGCTGTTACAGTGCACCTTATAATACCACACAGTCAGTTTAATGAGCTTTCTCTAGTAATTTGCGGTTATAAGGATGGATTACCGCAGGTCTCAGTAATGAGGGTCTGCCTCTGTTTTTGTATGGACAGAGCAGAAAGAAAGGGTCCTATGGAAAAGAAAGATTTGGCCACAGACTGAGTGAATGTGCCAGGAATTTGCTTGAGCAGCATAAAGCTGGTAATGATATACAACATCCGTCATGCCAGCCCAGTGGTTAGCGTTGTGGTTAGGCAGCAAGGGGGTTAAGAGTTTCAACCTGACGTGCCCTTCTGGGGCCAGTATATGTGGAGCTGCCATGCTCTGCTCAAGTTATAATTTAGTTGGCCGTTTAAATAACGGGATATCCTCGATGGAGAGCTATTTTTGTTTTTTATCTTTTACCTTGATACAATTTAATTTGATTCAAATTCCTAATCGTCAATCTCTAGCTTTACTTTTTCCTACTATGCATACTCTCAGTTATCCCTGAGATATTCTTTTGTACTGTTTCTAGGTATTCTTATTCTGTACATTGATCACCTCTTATGTTGACCTCTGGGTGAAAGGACTGCTCAGATGTGCTGTGAGGCAGTCCTTTATGGTGTTATACCTTTGTCCATCCACCCATCCTTTGTTTATCACGAGCTGAAAATAAAAATGATATTCACTCAATATTGTAACACCTTATTGACTGGGTATGTATGTTTGTATTGAGTTCATTATTTATGAGTGTAAACCCAGTTCTAAATCAAATTGAGGTGCTCTTCTCAGCACCTTCACCAATATTGTGTTGTCCACTAAATGGCAGACTCACTATTTATTTACTATTCCTTGTCTCCATACTCTGAATTGATAGAGTGGGGTAATTTCATCTGGCCTACTGGTGAGAAACGTAGTTTTCAAACAATGACTCTCTTCCCTAATTTAGCCCCTGTACCAGTAGCTGTCATCGTACAGTAGGGCTGTTCGATTATGGCAAAAATCATAATCTCGATTATTTGGGTCAATAATTGATATCACGATTATTAAAAACAATGATCCATTTACTTTGAAAACATCATTTTACTGGAGAAAAAAAATGTGACCAGTATGTTTTTAACAGTTGATTACCCTGAACTTTAAGTATAATTCACCCAAAAAATCAATACAAAATGTTTTTAAGAAAAAAAAGAAAAAAAAAGTAATAATAATAATAAAGAAATAATCGTTTTATTTCGATTACGTTGTTTTCGTAATCGTTGCAAGCCATAATTGTAATTGCGATTAATGAATTAATGAATTAATACGATTAATTGAGCAGCCCTATCGTACAGGGTGTATTGGTAGTTCACAGTATTTACGGGTACTTATCAACCAAACAGGAATCTGATCAGCTGAGCTGACCAATGAACTGATCACTGATACTTGTCCTCACCCTACATATATGGGGATTTATCAGATTTTCCACAGCGAGGCCATCTATTTCTATTCAAATTCAACAACCCACTTTAGAGCTGCCAGTGTTATTGCTAGGACCTGCTAGATGGAGGGGAGGAGAACAAGGGAAGGGTTGTATCAGACCAAATAGATTCCCACGCTTCCCTGTCAGTTGTGGTTCCAGCTGTGGTCTCTGTGGGGCCGGCCCCCACAGACCCCACTACGTCACTGCGGTTTGTCAGCTGATCCCGAGATTCCCGGGCCTCCTCCCACTTCCCAGCAGTGTAGTAACCAGTGTTTTTGAGAGTAAAGTACTATTACTCTAGCTGACAACAATGACAACAAAAATCAGGGCTGTAGAATATGCCAACTTCTTTGAGTATTTATGAAATGTTAATTCTAATAAATGGTCCATCTTATTTCTTATCATGAACAATTTCATGTTTTTTTTAACTAACAAGAGACATATTAACCAAGGCCCACCATAAGAATTATGACAGGAGAAAGTGCTACTTTCCATATTATTTTAGACACTATAACATTAATTGAGTTTTGTTTCTGATGCTTTTATTTGTGTATGTCAGAACAATATATTGAGATTTTTATTTGCCATTACTTCAATAACATAATTTATGAATGACTTTGTTTTTCTCTCTTTGTGTGTGTCTTTTAGGAATCTGCTGTATGTGAACCCTCAGAGTCTCAACTTTGCAAACCGCCAAGGCTCTGCCCGCAACATCACAGTCAAAGTGCAATTTATGAATGGAGAGGACCCAAACAATGCAATGCCGGTACGCTATGATGTCATTACATACATGTGTTCATATAGTCTAGTTAGTCATCCTACTTGTCTTCTTACTGGTATATTTCCTATACTCTAGGTGATATTTGGGAAGTCCAGCTGTGCAGATTTTGCTAAAGAAGCCTATACTACTGTGGTGTACCATAACAGGTAAGTCTATTAACACTTTCTAAAGAGTGCTGTAATGGTGATTGAATGCAGTTAAAACAACACTAATCAAATATCCCATCATAGCTTAGTAGCAATAACCTATTTTCATTTTGTTCAGATGTTAGCATCATTACTCAGGATTTATGTGATGACATATCTTGGCAATGGTGAGCTATGAAAATCTGACATGCTTAGCCTTTTACCCACATGGTCTCCATTATTGTCATGGAATTGGGGGATGAAAAATGAAAAGATCTAATATCCTCCTTTAATTTAACATCTACTTTTAAGTGTCCATCACCCAACCATAATGGTATTCATTAAAGAGGAGCTGGGGTCGACCGTCTAGATATTGTCAAGTGGGTGTCCTTGGCACACGTTTCTTCCATCTCTAAGAGCTCATGGGTCTCTAATATTTTATCACCTCTATCTGGTGTTTTTACGACATACAGCTATTTTGTCATTTGTCACCCGGGGGTCACACCTTCAAGGCGAAAATTAATCAACCTGTGAACAATGTACAAGTGTGACCAGGTCAAACATGCGTCTGGACTTAATTCAGCCCGGCAATTCACTCTGAAGCAGCACAATATTTATTTTGTCTGAATTTTTAAAAGAACAAATGAAGAAAGGGAATGACAAGACAATAAAACATATCTATAGTTATATATAAGTGCTTTATAATCTATAAATATTCCACTCTAGTGCTTGTATCTGCTTTTTGCTTTGGGGTCATTTACTCAGCCAGTAACTCATTAGCTTTACCCCTGCGATACCATTTGCTCCTAGTGAAGGCTTTTCTTCTTCTGTCCATCCAAATTAGAGCACTTCTGTGACCACTTTTAAGCAGTTTTAGTCATTTCAAGCCTTAAGACAATCCTGGTGGGTGTGTGATAGACCTGAGGCCTGTACGATGAAGCCGGTTCAACATAACCTGGATATGTTTGAGTTAGCCGGTTGGCCTAATCCAAAACATACGCGCTCTCGCTAAGCGGTCCTACGACGCGGGTTATCAAGTGGATCGCTCAATCCAGCCGTGCCCTATCTAGTTAGGTGCGCGTTCACATGAAAGGGGTGGTATTTGGAGCATTCGACCAATCACAAACATGGACAAGCGTACTGACAGCGCAGCGTCATACTTCCTGAATGAAAAGTCAACTATAATATTAGACATATGAAGAAGTTAAACTTTAAACATCCATGACTTAAACATTTTATCCAGGATCAAAGCCACATAGCTGCACCTGCAAGGTGAATACAGCTGGTAAAAGAAAAAGTGTTTGAATGCGTACATTAACAGGTTTATGATATCACTGCTAAGACACGACACGAATGGATCTGACTTTAATTACATTTGACTCGAATGTTTCGTCAACTTAATGTGTTGCTTAAAATAATCGTCGTCTGCGCTCACAATGCCGCGGACTGAAAGTAATGTTACTTTGATCCGGTTACTTATGTTGTGGCAGATATTTAAGTAAGCTTTCTTAACGCTAATGTTATAATAGTCAGATTGCTCTGAAGATGGGAGGTGATATTCTATACATTTTCACGTTCACACAGTCGGTAATTTTTGCCAGCCGTCTTTCCTGACGCACACTGAGCTCTGATTGGTCAGCAGGCAGTGCTTTCACTGAGTTGATCTCTTAGCCTGCAACCTAACCTGCTCCGGAGCAGGCTAGCCGTTCAGCATAAGTTACCATGGAGATCTAGCCTGCTAAAAAGTGAGCCAGCGTCGTAGGACCGGAAACCCCGAGTTTTCCCTGAGGTTAGCCCGCTAAGCGAAAATCCTGCTTCGTAGTACAGGCCTGTAGACGTGTGATGTTTATTTCTCCACACTGGTCTACAGACAAAGTTTCCTCCTGTGTGTGTTATGTAGTTTCTCTCTTTACTGATCCTCTGACTTCCACTATGAACTCCTGTCATGTCTTTTGACACAGATTCCCAAGTTATTCATAGACTCAGCAGGAAATAGAATATATGGAGATCTTAATTAATGTGCATACATTTCAAATGGTGGTGGCTAGCAGTTAACGGTGCTAACAACAACAACAACAACAACAACAACAACAACAACAACAACAACAGGGCAAACAACGGCCACATTGCTGACAGAGTGGAATGCTTTTGACGTGGCAGCATAAACGATGGTCTGACCTTTCTACGTTGTTCCAAAACAAATGTTTTTTAATTGGTTAATCATTTCTAATATATTAATATAATGAACATAAAGTAACCTCCAACGCTGCTGTCGAATATTTAAAACAAAATGTTAATTGTTGTAAACAGATCCCCTGACTTTCATGATGAGATCAAGATCAAGCTGCCTGCCTCCCTGTCGGACCACCACCACATTCTCTTCACCTTTTACCACATCAGCTGCCAGCAGAAGCAGAACACACCACTGGAGACCCCTGTGGGATACACGGTGGGTAACAGACCATTTGCACTTTCACTACTGCAATGTTCCTGCAGGCATTGCAACTGAATCATGTGTATTACCAAGCGCACACTCTCTAGGTGTCATTTAGAGAAATATGCAATTCAAAATCTGTACTAAATTAAAAAGGAAAACATCCTGTGTTCTCTTTTGATTTTATTTGTGTCTCCCTCTCTCTGTAGTGGATCCCCATGCTGCAGAACGGGCGTCTGCGGACGGGCCATTTCTGTCTGCCCGTGTCTCTAGAGAAACCACCACAATCCTACTCTGTTCTCTCACCAGATGTAAGACCGTTTTTACAGTATTGGGCCATGTATAGAAGTCTGTAAAGAAAGTATGAATTTAAAAAGATGTATTTCAAACGGGCAGCCATAATGTTTTTTGAAGTTTGCAGTTTTTGCTTCACATATCCTCAGTTATTTTTAGTGCATGTTAAATAATTGGTGTGCATGATGTCTATGTTTTAGAGTAAGCTTTGTAATATAAAAAAGATTAAGGGGAATAAAAAGCCTTTGAAATGCCCCAGCCTTTAAACCTTTTTGATTCAAGCTACATTTTAACCTTCTACCCAAAGTTACTTATTGTCAATTTTCGCTAATTGTAAAATGCTCCTTTTTCCAATGCAGCTCAGATTTACTCTGATATTGTTGTTCTTCAGGTTGCTCTCCCAGGGATGAAGTGGGTGGACAACCATCGAGGAGTTTTCAATGTGGAAGTGGTGTCTGTTTCAACCATCCACACACAGGTAACAATACTGTATACATTAGTTTTATCGTGCTTTTCAGGATTTTGGAATTAACCTTCTTCTCCAATTACCTTAACTGATGAAGAAGAGCTGTGTATATTAAAAATATCAGTTGCTGTAGAATACTTTTCCTAAGCCTTACACACAGGTTAACATTTAAAAGGTAATATTTTAATGAAGAAAGATATACAGTGTTCTCACATTTAGACAGTAATTCCTCCACAGCACCAGTTCATTAGTGGTTGAAGCTCGTCTCTGCAGTAATTTACTGAGCTCTACTCCATCGCTGTGTCGGCTGGGGTGTGGAGGGCTTGACTGTGGTCCCTAGGAGCCTAACTGGGACTAATGTGCTCATAAATCACTGCTCCTGGCGCAGATTAGACCTGCTGGATTCTCCTGTGTTCTTGTAGTAACGTTCGTTTTGTGGTTTCAACTTGGTGAGCCAACTTACAGACGAGTAGATCCAAGCTTACTTTTGTTTGTCAACTTCCTTCCCCCCGTTTTTTCTTTACTTTTAACACTGTAATATATTATTCCTCTAAGCTTTTTGTTTTTGCCTTATTTTCTTTGAATAAATCTTCTCTTCTCTTCTGTTCTGTTACCATCTGTGGCTGTTTATATGCCCTTTCCTGCATTTGTTTTGCCAACCATTTTCTCTCTTTCTTCTCCTTGTACCCCCATTCTCCCCTTCCAGGACCAGTACCTGGATAAGTTCTTTGCCTTGGTACATGCCCTGGACGAGCACACGTTCCCAGTCAGGATAGGAGACATGCGTATCATGGAAAACAACCTTGAGGCCGAGCTCAAGTCCAGCCTTGCTGCGCTCAACTCTTCCCAGCTGGAGCCAGTGGTTCGATTCCTCCACCTCCTGCTCGACAAGTTGGTGCTGCTCGTAGTGCGCCCACCAGTCATTGCTGGGCAGATCGGTATGATATCGTTTTACACTGAACTAAATATTACAAAGTTACACAATATAAGCTGTATATTTTATGGCCGTCATAATATGCCCCCATAATATGTCCCTGTGTATTTGTGTGTGTTCAGTGAATCTGGGCCAGGCATCCTTCGAGGTCATGGCTTCCATAGTGAACCGGCTTCATAAATACTTGGACACCAGCCAGGACATGCATGGTCGCAACGGCCTGCTGTCCTCTTACATCCACTACGTCTTCCGGTTGCCCAGCACTGACCCCAACTCACCCTCTCCAGGTATTTAACTGTCGATGCAGTAAACCCCTTCACACTTTTCTTTATCTGTATCGGTTTTTCTGTTTTCCCCTTTTAAGTTAACTTCATTCAACTCCCAATCGCCCCAATCGCCTTCACTGGGTGTCTTATTATTTTCCTTTCTGCCATCATTTTTCTTCTTCTATTTGTTTTTGATTTTTTTTTTTTTTTACTTTTGTTCTTCTGCATGCTCCACACAGACCCCAACTCATCTGTAACAGGTAGATATGGCCCAAAACTTGACATTTTAACCTGTGTGCAGTTATTATTCCCTCTAAACATAATATTCAGTTCCTCAGGTATTATTCCATGTTGGTAGATAATTTGATATATTGTGCTTGATTTCATATGATTGATGATTTCATTCATTGATCCATAGAACTGTTTTTATTTATGAAAATATATGTTTTTGAGCTTCTTTCTTGTATCTTCACAACATGCAAAGCCTTATGATTAGGGGCAGGGTTTGTGTGCATTGGGAGAAGTGTGAACATGCAACTATCAGGTCTTTGGACCCACAATGGCTTGGTAGAAGAATAAGTTATTCGCAGTTGTTCCATTCTCCTCCCTCTGTGTCTTGTCCCAGGGCCAGGAGGGTTGGGAGGTTCGATGCACTATGCCACCATGGCTCGCTCAGCTGTTCGACCAGCCAGCCTTAACCTTAACCGCTCCCGTAGCCTTAGCAACAGTAACCCTGACATCTCTGGTACACCCACCTCTCCTGACGATGAGGTCCGCTCAATCATTGGCAGCAAGGTAAGGTCTATAACTTAAAGTGCTTTAGAGTTCAGTTGCTTTTCTGCTGAGGCATTAAATAGTGGCTCAAAATGTTAAACAAGTATCAAATATGGACAGAACTGTCTTGGCACGAAGCCCTATTGCAATATTTGGCTTGTCCACATGGATACCAGAGTTAAATATTGATATATTCTCATTGATCTGTGTTGTATTGAAGACATGCTCATGTAGGGTGAGGTAATTCTTAACGCACAGAAAAGCAGATACCTTTCATGTGTACAGTGACCCAGGGGGCCGTTTTATCACATGTAAACTGTAAAGCCTACGCGTAAACAAAAGATGGAACATCTTATCTTTCTAACCGCTGTAACAGCAACCTGAGGCACACACATGTATACATACACATGCACACACAGTGCTCAGTGTCGTCTTTGTGCAGGTTGTGAAAGGCATTAAAGTTGTTTAGCTTACAGACACATAAGAAAGCAGATGCTGTCAGGAAGATACAATAGGCCATTGTTTCAATAGTCATAAAGCATAGCATAGCCTTGTCAGTCTCTAATGGTTTTGTTTCTTTAGATTGAATTTATTTATGTGTTGTCATTTATTTGGTCTTGTTTGTAATTTGTGATTTCCCTCTTCAAACACAGTTTTGTTTAACCCAAAGTACCCAAACAGTGTTTGAATGCAGCCCCTTGTTTGGTGAATGTTCCCTTTCTGCTAATACTTAACCAAACCTTTCTTCTCTTGTCTCTGAGGGAGGGGGAGTTTTGTATTACACAGAGAGAGAAAGGGAGAGAGAGAACGTTTGCTTTGCTCCTCTGTGGTGATGATTTGGATTTTGAATTTACTGACAGCTAACCTGTTAAAGGCCCTTTGCATCTTCCAGCAGTCCTGACCTCTGAACCTCTTTAACCTGTCACTGTTCCTTTCCCTCCTCCTTCCCCCGTGCTGCTCGCTCGTTCCCTTGCTTCCTGCCTGCCTTGTGTCCTTTAACCTTGGCACGTCTAGGGCTTAGACCGCTCCAACTCCTGGGTGCACACCATGGGCTGTAAGAGTGACCCCTGGGGATCCAGCCCTGGGTCCGCTCCAGAAACCATGCAGGTGGTTTTATGAATGCCCCGTCCTCCACTTTACCTCTCTATAAAAACAGCTCACCTTGAAGGGATACTGGGATATTCAGAGTGTTGGTTTATTTATGAACACAACCATAGTTACTAAAAAAAAAGAAAGGTGAGTTTCAGGGGCAATACATATCCTTAATGAATATTTTACGGTTGAAATGTCTTTAGGTTTTGTGATCTTTCATTTATAGACTCTAGTGGAGCTACTTCCTGAGGTTTTTATTAGCGTAACTATTATGATAATCAACCCATTTTTGCTCACTTTCTACAAACCATAACAACAAAGACATACAAAACCAAAACTTCTGAATATTACAGTATCCTGCTTGACTTTTACTCACAATCCTCCCGTTAACCCATTGATGGGATCACAGCCGCCTCCATGACCCATTGTCCCTCACGCCATAACTCATCCATTATTACGTATCACATGTACTGTAGCACCTCCCTTTTTCTCAGTACTTTCATGAAAAGATAACATAGTCTAAATAGAAAGCTATCAGTGCCGTTTTACCATAGTTTTTCTTGGCAGCTAATTCTTGAGCAATGTTTGCCTTACTCTCTTTCTATACTATGATCTTTTTATGCACGTATATACTTCACAAAAAAATGGTAGAGAAAAAGAGTAGTGTTAGAAATCATCCTCATCCACAGAGTATTTATTCTGCGACCATTTTGTTTCATCTCTCATTCTCTTTTCTTCTTTCTGTTTCCACCACCATTATTCACTCTCCACTCCAGCTAATAACCATGCATGACTTCCTACTAACATTACCTAGCGTTCACTCTGTCACCAGAGCATGGTATATCTGTAAGTGTGAGTGTGTGTCTGTCTACGTGTCAGCTTCTCATTCCGTCTGAACATGTGATGTAATGTCCTCTGCCATTTTAGGTCTTCCTGATATAAGCATTTGTTAATCACCAACTCAAACGCTGGATGAAATGAATATCAAGAAAACAGAAGGGAAAATAATTCTGCAAATGATATTCATAAAATCACAGCTAGATTCCAGCTTATAATGTATTGTGCCAACATTAACAGAGCATGGCATAATCCACATTTAACCTGGGTTAGTCTACCCACCATTAATAAAACCTTTGCTACGTTTTTTTTACTAATGCCAACTTAACTTGATATCGCACCCATTTTGCATCCCTCCTTTTGAGAACATATATATTACATTTGGTGTAAATACTTGTCTTTAGCCATCCTTTTTTAATGCTAAATTGTTTCTTAAAAAATACTTATTTTTGTATTATCCTTATATAGTTCTTTTATATTTGTTATTACCTACTTCGCAACTTATTTCTTTAGATTGTTTATGTTCGCACATCCAGATAACAAAGCAAATTCCTTGTATGTGTAAACGTACCTGGCAATAAACTTGATTCTGATTCTGATTATTTAAGGCACTCAAACTACAGATGTGACTGTTTTAGATCATGGGAACAACAGTTTTAATTGTTGTCGCCCTGTCTTGTGTCCAATAGCTCTGTGTCTTGATGTGTATGCAAGAGATCACAAAAATGTAGTGTGTGTGTGTCTGTCTGTCTGTGTGTGTGTGTGTGTGTGTGTGTGTGTGTGTGTGTGTGTGTGTGTGTGTGTGTGTGTGTGTCTGTCTGTGTCTGTGTGTGTGTGTGTGTGTGTGTGTGTGTGTGCGTGCGTGCGTGCGTGCGTGCGTGCGTGCGTGCGTGCGTGTGTGTGTGGAGGTGCCTGTGACCCAGCAGACACGTTTTCCCTGTGTGCTGTGGAATAAGGTTCAACCCCACGCTCCCGTTGCTCCTCCACTAACCTTGTTGTCACCGTTCCATTCATCCCACCCATAGGCCATGGAGCGCAGTGGCAATCGCATGTCTTCGCACACTGAGAGCACCAGTTTCTTGCAAACTTTAACAGGACGGTTGCCCACAAAAAAGGTAGAGCCACTGCACTGGGGGAGGAGCCAAGCCCGCCCACCTCTTTATTCGCCTCCTCACCTGTCTTGTCTGTGGATGTGTGCTTCTCGGTTTGGTTGATGTTGTATTTGGTGGTTGTGGAGTTTGTTGAATGCGGAATGTCTATGATATGCCTCTTGTTCTGAATGTTTCAAAGACTTTTTTTTAAGTGACATGAATGTTTGTATTCTGGCTGGCTTAGTCTGGCTAACTTAGTCTGGGAAGTGTCCTTTAATCGTCCTTTCATAGGGCTGCACAATATGAGGAAAGACTAGTAATACTGTTAAAATCCAACAAATTATTTGTTAAATAAACCAAAAAGAAAGGTGATTTACATTTTAAGCTCCAGCCTTTTACGGATACTCTTTTAAAAAGAATCTCTGAGTGTTATGCAAATAAGATGAAAAAAGAATATCACAAGTTTAACCTTAATTATAAAAAAACATTATATCGTGCAGCCCTTTGCACTACTCATCATGCATTCAATGCATATGGTTAGGCTTGATTTTTAAGTACCACTTCCATCGGTTTACTAGGACCCTGCATTAGAGTCATAAACACATGCAAGTTTGGTGAAACATTTCCCTAACTAATGATAAAGAACAAAAAACAGACAAACACATAAAAACATCTATTTACTAGTTACCATTTTGGGTCTGCTTCGTTGATAGAACTGAGCAATACTCAGTTCTCAGCACTAACTACTTTAAAGTAGAACTTATGCTACTAATATAAAAAATGCCCAGAAACAATTTTTGTAGGCGGCACCTAAAGTATTTTAAAGATAATAAATTGGGTTATCCTTCATGTCTGGCCACTTCCTAATCTCGAAAATATGTCAACACGATTACGGAGACTTGCCAGATTCAACAGACAGTCAATATGCTAGCCAGACTGTGTTCTGCATAAAACACACACTCAAATAAGGTCAAGCGATTGATGCATAATTCTTTAAAGAAATGAAAAAGAATACATTCTTATCTCCATGTTTAAAAACCTCCTTGTGCACATTTTTAATACCTCAGCCATTTATACGATTATCAGGGAGTAACTTTATGAAAGACTTTAATTTGCATGGTGAAAAGAGGGAATTTTTCATAATTTCATAAAATAAAGGTTGTTCGAATCTAACTGTAAATTATATTAAAGGATATTTTTACTTTTAATGACTTTGTTTAGAGTGTTTGGAGTTGGTAACCCCTTAATGTAGTATATGTATATTTTGGTTTAACCTCCCTCTGTAATTCAGTTAATTTTCAGTGTTGGGAGCGCACCAGCTTTTCTGGACTCATATTATTTCATATAAAGAATGTTAGCATTGCTAATCCCTGTTAACTAAACCTGCTAAACTTTTATTCCATGTTACATCCCCTTTTAAGTTTGTACATTTTGAAGTTCAGTTAAAAGTACATTTACTGAATAATCTATTCACAGCATGGAGGTATATTAAAATGTAATATCAACGGTGATACTTCTCCTGTTGCCTCACATTCTCTCTGTCTGGCTCCGTTGCTTCTCCCTCTCGTTCCCTCCATCTCCACTTCTTTTCTACTTTCCTGTTCTCCTCAGCTCTTCCATGAGGAGTTGGCGCTGCAGTGGGTAGTGAGCAGTGGGAGCGTCAGGGAGGGGGCTCTGCAACAGGCCTGGTTTTTCTTTGAACTCATGGTAAGAAAAAAACCCTGTCATTAAACCTATAAACAGCTGTGACTTATATGCATATGTATTCTATTAATAGTCATCACAGTAGATTCTTTTCCCATGACAACATGTCTTGCCTTGTACCACAGGTGAAGAGCATTATCCACCACCTCTACTTCACGGAGCGCTTGGAGTCACCCAGGAAGAACCGTTTCCCAGAGCGCTTCATGGATGACATTACAGCTCTGGTCAGCACCATCGCCGGGGACATCGTGTCTCGCTTCCAGAAGGTTAGTACGAGCCTGGTGAGAGTTACGTGAGAATATAAGGACCTCCTGGTGGGCATGCAATCTGTTAAATATCATTGCTGAAGAGCACATACAGTAGAAGGAATGTGGTGTTATACAATAATCTAGCGAATCAGCTAATTTAACACTTGATGTAGTTTTTGCAATGTGACTACAAGGGATGTTCCGCTGATTCGCTAGATTATTGTATAACACCACATTCCTTCTACTGTATGTGNATCGGTGGAAGCCGTAGCGCTTTAAAAAGCACGACCAATCGGCCCGACTAAAATAACTGGATGGCCTACCTGCCTGTCAGCCTTCAATCTGTGCACAAACTTATCTCATGCCCTCATTGGTCATGTGCGCGTTCGTGTGTGTTGGAGGAGGGGCTCTGTAATGAAGTGGCAGATTTTTTCCGGTTGTGTATTTTCAAATTCTAGCGCACTCCAGCTGGTTTCTCCAAAATGACATACCCCACCTTTAACAAGAAATGTGTAACATCTTTATGATGTGGCATTTACCTGTTTCCAGTACGCTCTGATTAAGGTGAAGACAAAGCCTCGGTCCATGACTGAGAGCAAATCGTTGAGGAAGAAGGCCAGACTGGTGTTGAGTCTCTCCACCATCTCTAGGTCCTGATTGGATGAGATACACATGACTTAAAAAGTTGACAGTTAGAGCAAAATGTTAGATTCACCTAACCAGGCAAAAGGATGATAATGGAACATCCCTTGTAGTCACATTGCAAAAACTACATCAAGTGTTAAATTAGCTGATTCGCTAGATTATTGTATAACACCACATTCCTTCTACTGTATGTGCTCTTCAGCAATGATATTTAACAGATTGCATGCCCACCAGGAGGTCCTTATATTTAAGCAATAGCTCGCGACAGGCCGTGGTATATGCTCATTATATCATAGCTAAGGGGCGTGGTTCGGCCCGACGCGAAGCGGACAAGTCAAAACAAGCAATCTGATTGGTTCTTAGCCGTGATATACTGAGCGTATACCACGGGTAGAATTGTAAGTTAATTTTCACAACAAGTCAGTATCCCTCCGCGTCTGAGCAAAAAAAGTATACCCTTGGGCATACTGGAACAAGAAAGCAGCGGAGAAGTAACGGGGCAGAAGCTGGGCAGAAGCCCTCCTTTTTGACGCAGCGGTCCAGACATAGACATCAGACGGCAAAACATATTCAGTGTGCAGTTCCTTTGGCNCCATCCAGTTATTTTAGTCGGGCCGGCTAAAATGATTGGTCGTGCTTTTTACAGTACTACGGCTTCCACAGATGACATTTTTTTATGGATTTCTTGTCAAAGCACTTAAGACATTCATTGCTGTCGGGATGTTCAGAGCATTCCTTGGAATATAACAAAAAGTGTATCTCGAGCCGGTTTCTCAAACTTATCTACCCCACCTTTAAGTGTTTTTATGCAAATAATAACAATGTATAAGGATGAGTGTTAATGAAATCAGAGCAACGCTTAGCCAAAACTTGACAGAATTATTAACTTAACAAATGAATTTGGATGTCTCCCCATTGTTAATCAAAGAAGCTACTGCCACATATCGTCCCAGTTTTACTACATTCTGGCAAAGCATACAACTCAAGATGTAACACAGCATTTCAGGTTTCTTCATGACCTTAGAATATTCCAACACCTTTCCTTTCCAAGATTTCAGTTATTTTAACAGTACTCAGTCCGAATTATTTATCTGTGTGCCATAAATGCCGTGAATGAATAAATGATTGTGTCCCGTTTCCTTCCTCCAGGTTTCCACAAAGCTTTACGCTCTGCAGAACCCAACCCTAGAGTCTTTGAGGCTTGACTTTTTGAGAATAGTGTGCAGCCACGAACACTACGTCACCCTCAACCTGCCCTGCAGCCTGCTCACCCCCCCCGCCTCGCCTTCCCCCTCCGTGTCTTCAGCAACTTCACAGGTCAGTGGGGATGTGCAGGGAAAATTATGCAAACTTATTTAAAGGAATTTAAAGTTAGATGATCATGTGTGCACCTATACTAACTTCTTGCAAATTTGGCAGTGTAAAAAGGATGAGCAGCAAAAGTAGATTCTAAGACTGTCCTACAATAATATTTATATAATTTTGTTGTGTTTGTTGTATTCCTAAATTATTAATGGTCTAACTTGTTTGGATGTTCTGTTCTCCCTTCTTTCCCATAGAGCTCTGGGTTCTCCACAAATGTCCAGGACCAGAAGATAGCCAACATGTTTGAGCTGTCTGTTCCCTTCAGAGAGCAACACTTTCTGGCTGGACTGGTTCTGTCTGAACTGTCCGTAACACTCGACCCAGAAAATGAAGGGTTAGTATGCTTAAGATGTATACTAAAGAAAAGGTCTTTGTATGAGTGAAAGCAACTTGAAGGGTCAAAATGGTTGAGTTTCTTCACATCCTCATGTCACATACAAGGTGATTGTATGTGTGGTGGTTTGTTTGTGGGTGTGGGTGTGTGTACCCAATAAACTATCATGTATTGTAGAGAATCAAAAGTGCTATAATCAGGTTATAGTCTCTGTGTCTGTTGGTGAGAGATAAGTCTGTATGCTTGCTGACATGCATTCATGTGAGTGAGTTAAGGTTGTGCACGTGTGTCTTAACGTGAGTTGCTTCCCTTGTTCTCCCACCCAATGTGCTTTTCTCTCATGAAATTAAATTCAGTTTTTTTCTTGTTTGCACTGTAGCATGTTCGGCCTTCATAAGAAAGTGGTGAGTGTGGTCCATAACCTCCTGTCCAGCCACGACTCTGACCCCCGCTACGCTGATCCCGAGGTCAAGGCCCGAGTCGCCATGCTGTACCTGCCTCTCATTGGCATCGTCATGGAAACACTACCACAGCTCCATGACTTTACAGGTAAAACATGATATTAGTTACATTACAACACACTTTATATAATTAATTATTTAAAAGGCGGGACTGTGTTTTAAAAGTGTTCTTTAAACTATGCGAAAGGGAGATTATTAAATATATTACTCAATGCTTCAAAAAACATACATTTGCGTGGATAAAGAGTTGCATGTTTTTAGAATATCAGTATGTGTGGTATTCTCAGTTCCACACACTGCTTCACCATGTCATCTCATGTTCTACTTAAGTGAAGAACAATTATTACCTCAACCACTTCAGAAAATCACAGATGAATATTTACTGACTGTCCCTGAAACCATTTGGCAACCATTTGGCCACTTCAGAGTATTTATCACACTGGGTGCAGGGCATAGACATGGATGTGTGTGCACTTGAAAACGAGGGTACCTCCTCAGCATTACATTGAGCCAGCAAAGACCCCTGTTACGACATAATGTGGCAAAATGCCAAGTAACCTGAGGTATTCAAATACACGCCTCTGCAACGTTACAATGTGACCTACAGTAGCTTTATACTTTGGAACTCTGGAGGTTATCATTTGAACTCTAAAGAATGTTGCACAAAAAACATAATGAACTGGCTGATCTCTTGCCTCCCTTAGTGAATGAGACTCATCTAGACCGGGATCTGGTTTTAAAATGACCCAGTGATAAATGTTTGAATAATCGCAGTGGTTTGGCTCATGTTATAAAGCTTGGTCTGAATAAAATATGGCCTATTTTGTGATATCTTTTCAAGTAGTTATTATTAAATAGTATTTATTTCTAAAAATGCCATGTTATCAAAGTCTCAACATCCTTATTATTTTTCCATTCTAGATAAAGCAATTCCCCTTTTTTATTTTTATATTCCTGTTAATGATTGTATTTTTTATTCTCTTCTTTTTGTCTCACTAGAGTCCCATAACCAGTGGGGTCGGCCGGGCTGTCCCCAGGGGGCAGCGATGGGCAGCAGTGGGGAAGAGGCAGAGGGAGAGGCTAACAGCATGATCAACCAGACGGTTGCCGCGGCGATAGCAGGCACCGCCACTCCCACCCCAATGTCCCGACCAAGCAGCTTCTTGCTCAACTCGCAGGTATTTTAATGTTTGTATCATTCATCTGCAATTTATGGAGCAGTCCTTCTGCTGTAAGTCATAACAACATTTGGAGGCATTTGTCTTTTTATCATACCTCTTTCTGTCCTTCCTCCCTGTTCATTTCCCATGGTCCATTTCTCCAGGCGAGTCGTCCGCATGGTAGCTTCTCGGCCGAGTCGAGCCGCAGTCTGCTCATCTGTCTGCTGTGGGTGTTGAAGAACGCTGACGAGCTGGTGTTACAGAAGTGGTTCACAGACCTGTCGGTGTCGCAGCTCAACCGCCTGCTGGACCTCCTCTACCTGTGTGTGTCCTGCTTTGAGTACAAGGTGACATCAACACACCGACTAACCACTGCATGGTTGTCCAGGAGCACACAGAGGGTTGGGTACCCATTATCTCTTGAGTGTACCTTCTCCTACGTTTTGTGTCCCACAAAATATTATTTTCCCAGTTGGACTGATAGTGAGGTTTATAAATGAAACTGTATACTCATATCAGCTATCATATGTGACCCCTCTATCGAAATCAGTCGGAAGTCGCAACGGCTCATTTCAAAATAAACGTGGATTTGCGTAAAAAAATAGTTTTTCGGGGTCCGGGTGTTTTGTTTAATTTTAAATAAACAAAGTCTTGGCTTTCAGAATATGGAACTTTTATTTAAAAAATCACACGATAAATACATTCTTTAAGCTTGTAAAGGGAAGATGACAGCTCTCCCTCGCCACCCGCTGTTCCGCAGCGCTGCTTCCCCTCCCTCCGGCTGAAATTACGAATGTAAGCGTATAGTAATCATAGATAACACGGCAGGGTCCGTTACAGTTTGTTTTTATCTGATTTCAATTAAACAAAGTCTTGGCTTTCAGAATATTAAACTTGTTTCGGCAAATTCAGATGATAAATACAACTTTGAAGCTTGTGACGGCATAATTACAAGCGGAGACCGGAGTAACATGACGTCACAGATGGCATAACAACTGCCGGTGTTTCTCGGGAAACAAACACAATACACACGCAAAATTACACAAACACACACACACACACACACACACACACACACACACACACACACTCGCAAGCTTCCCCCAGACCAGTAATCCAAACGAATATATCTCCCCTCCGGACTATTTTGATAATTTGCTCCGCTAATAATCAATCAGATCGATGGATTCCAGAGAAGAGGAAAGTTTGAAGGCCTTTTTCTCAAAATGATGACTCGGTGACAGTCATTATATAATGTGACATATTTAACTTAATATTTGGAGTACAAAAACAATCCTGATATCATTAGAAAGCTAGGAGTCTCCTCTTTCCAACAGTGTATACAACTCAAAATGTGTCTTCGGTTCAATTCGACTGATTTCGATGGAGCATTTCACATATGTGATCACAACAAATGGGAAATTGTAGCAAAAAGTTAATACAGGTCAAACAGAAAAATAAAACTCAACACTTGACTGTGGACATTTATATTCATTCATGAGAGAGCAACGACTATTTCTTACATACATACTTATTTGTCAAGATTTAGTTTTACATGTTCTAAATCTTCTAAATAATGTATGCACAATCCTCTTCTAAACATTCTTTCTTTCTGTGTGTTTGACTTTCTGCTATGCTGTGTTTGCTGTCTGCTTGTCGATGCTTGCACATTTGCTTGTTTGCTCCTAATCTGCCTTGCTTGCTGAGTGCTGTGCTGCCAATAACTTCCCCGCTTTGGTTTCTCTGTCCGTCCACTCATCCTCTGCCTCATGGATACAAGGCCCATGTTGTGTTCACCATGCAGGGGAAGAAGGCGTTTGAGCGGATGAACAGCCTGACCTTTAAGAAATCTAAAGACATGAAGGCCAAGCTGGAGGAGGCCATCTTGGGCAGCATCGGGGCCCGACAGGAGATGGTGCGACGCAGCCGCGGACAGCTAGGTGGGGCTAACACATCTCAGCAAATGCTCACACACTATATCTATATACTTTGAAAGCAAACACAGATGAAACATTGAGCCAGGTCCCCTTTTATGCAAAATGCACTTTTTGATGTCTTTTATACATAAATATGTGTAGGCATACTTGCCAACCTTGAGACCTCAGAAATCGGGAGCAAAATGGGGGGGGGGGGTGCTAGTGTTTCGCCAGAGCTTTTAGATTAACATTAACATGCTTATTGTAGTTGTCAGTGCAATGCCTTTATCCATCCTTGATGGAGCATATGCGTGGGCTGGACCTCTATTTTACAGGAAAGGAGTGAGCAGAGAGTAGAGTAGTTTTCTGTGACTATCTGCCTCACCCTCTCAGACTTTGAGTTGCGCGCGCTACTAAAGAGACGTGTTACCATGGAAACCAAACAATGGTGTAGCTGTATTAAAGTCCGAGTGGAAACAGTCCTGAGTAAATCTGATTTGGTCAGAAATCGGGAGAAATGCGGGAGAAATATGACCCCGGGAGGAAACCGGTAGAGGGCAATGAAATCGGGAGTCTCCCGCGAAAATCGGGAGGGTTGACAAGTATGTGTGTAGGTGTGTCAGGGAACTCACAAAGTGTCAGAAAATAAAACCCTCTCTCTTTTCCTCCGTGCCGACATCTCTAAAAACGGGGGTACAGCGGAGCTGATCCAGATTTGCGTCCGATATGACGTAGTATCAGAAATGTGGGCTGGCTTTATGCCCACGGCCCTATCAGAAACGTTGCTGTATCAGAAACAATAAGCGACATGTTTTGGAAGTAATATGGTCTGTGTTGACATTAGCATCGCTAATACTCAGAGCTAACGCTGTACTGGAGAGAGCGTGTGTAAAAAAGCAGGAAATAAAAGGTACTCACCTTGTGGTAAACCCGCAAGAGAAAAAGCATTTGAGCTCCATACTGTTTGAGAAGTAATCCTTGATGTGGTTTGGAACATGATATGGCGTTTTAATCACGGTGTTTAGCTGAGTATCTGGGTAGAATTCTCCTGCATGCGCTCTCCTCTCTCTAGAGCTGCGTGCCCAGAATCAGCACTTCTCTAACAGGGCTAAAATAGAGGCATGGCTAGAATGGGTGATCTGTGATCTGGTATTTTGAGCACAAACCTTCAGAGGCATGTTTTTTATATATCTGAGACTTATAATATATTCCTAAAAGTAGTATAATAGGAGACCTGATTCTAACACATGAAGTCCTAAACTACAGTATATCCTGCTTTCCAACCTGCACACACTCATACTGCTGTGCACTTTAATGGCACTGCAGATCAAACAAAGTTTCAACCAAAGTCAATCACGTTTCACTGTGTACACACACCTTCTTTCACCACTAATACAAAAGTAAATGATTTTCTCTTCCGTTTAGAACGAAGTCCATCTGGCAGTGCTTTTGGCAGTCAGGAAAACCTTCGATGGAGAAAGGACATGACCCACTGGAGACAAAACAGCGAGAAGATGGACAAGTACGCTTTTTCAAACTCTAAATCCACCTTCCGAATTCTAACTATATGTCACATAATAAACCTCAGTCAGCTCTTTGAAGGAACACAGTATTTTAAGTTCATACACTTTTTGTGCTGCACAAAACCATGATGGAGTATAGTAATGTCCATACCCACTTATATCTCCACCTGTAATAAATCATTTAAAGCATTACAGATAGATACATCTTGAAGTGTGGAAAACAATCATTTAATCTCCTTATTAGGATATCACAAACAATCTCCACTTCTGCCAAAGTTAATTTATACTTTCTTGGTTATTTCCAATTCTTCATTTGGATTTGCATAGTAACAGAGCAGAATGATTTGTTTTGCCTAATGTTTAATTTAACACAAAAGATACACTGCTTCGTGCAATGCTTTTTTATTTTATTTCATATTTATGTTATTTATTCGACTCTGTTTCTTGTTGTAAATTCAGCTCCAATCTTTGTTTTCTGTTCATTTCCATTTGTTCTCTCACGTTGCTGTGTTTATGTAGGAGTCACAGATCAGTCAGGTATTGTATGGTCCACATTTGCTGTGTGCTCCTTTAAATCCCCCCCGCTTAAGTACAGTAACTCAATCGTGGTGTATTCGCATGCCTGTGGGAGGATGCAGTGGACACACAATGTATGTATTACATTTGGATCCGATTCCCCCCTGAATCTAACCCTCCTTTGATCCTCCTTGGCTTGAAACTGATCACTCCTGATAGACCAATATCATGATTCATTTCACCTCCATTTTGATTTCTTCACACATGCACATGAATACACCAACAGAGACCACCTGTTCATGGTTCTGACCCTCATCATCATTCCCTCTCTCCTGGTAATCATGTCTGTCTCGGGGTTGGTAGTGGTTGCAGTGAGTCTGTTTTGCTTTTTAACCAGCGTGCTTTGCTTTGGGTTCTGACTCGTGTGTCTCCCTACAGGACAATGTAGCAATAGCTCTTCTTGTAATGAATACTTTAATGCTTTACGACTGAAAACCAGTCCTGATATATTTTCCTATATTCAAACATGTAGGACAGGTAAATACACACAGCCTGTATCCTTAATGTTCCACCTGTAGGCCAGGGATGGATTCCTTAGCTGTCATTGTTATATTATGTATATTCGTTTTGGCTTTAGTTGACTAAGAATACTTTAGTTGATAAGTTCATATTGAATTACTCTTTTTCAAGGAAACTTATGAACAAATCTATTGTAAAATCAAAAGTGATTCTTTTGCATGATTTGTTGATGAAAAACGTTGTTCTACAGATCTGTTGATTAACTAAACTAATCATTATTGACCAAATGTCTGAGTGTTATTCGACAAATATTGTATTCAGCCCGGGACAGTCCTACTTCAAACCTCTGAAGTCACAAGTTTGCACTAGCTGTTTACATATAGATCTGCATGCATTGTTTCTGTGGAACATTTGCATAGTTTGAGGTCTGCACCTTCAGTGTAAGATTTATTTTAATATTGATAGACGAGCAGCTTTTTTATTTAAAGATATCATATTAAATGTAATGCAAACAAGCATATAGGCTGGTATTCTACTCGGCACATATTATCTGTTCGTTCCACACAGAGACGAACTAGGGCTTGAATATCGTGACAGGAACCTCACGTTAGGCTGTACAGCATTATCATCGCAATTTGGGAGGTGTGAACCATTTTGTGACAGGGGGTCTCTGTTCTGTTGACTGTAGGACCAGAGCAGAGCTGGAGCATGAAGCACTCATCGATGGTAACCTCGCAACAGAAGCCAACTTAATTATCCTTGATACTTTGGAGATTGTTGTGCAGGTAAGCAAGGGGAAAGGACTTTCTTTATAGATACATGCATGTGGTTTAAAAATATATATATCCATGCTCTTATAACATATGTGTCCCTTTCCCTTCAGACGGTATCAGTGACTGAGTCTAAGGAGAGTATCCTGGGGGGGGTGCTGAAGGTGTTGCTCCACAGCATGGCCTGCAACCAGAGCGCCCTTTACCTCCAGCATTGTTTCGCCACACAGAGGGCGCTGGTGTCTAAGGTAAGACTTTAATTAAAGTAATACATTTCAGGTCTTCCTTGCAATTTCTTCCAGGGCTTCATACTTCATTTGTATTGTGTCAATATGTGTGTGTTTCTGTCTGTCGGTGCAGTTTCCTGAGCTGCTGTTCGAGGAGGAGACGGAGCAGTGTGCTGACCTGTGTTTGCGGTTGTTAAGGAGCTGCAGCAGCAGCATTGGAACCATCAGGGCCCACGCCAGCGCCTCCCTCTACCTCCTCATGAGGCAAAACTTTGAGATTGGCAACGTAAGTACAACTGAAAACGAAAGGTTTACAACCCAACATGTTGTGGTATTAGTTTGATTGGAACATCCAAACCTAAAGCTGGGATGAGGGGTTTTTAATGTTTAAACCCATCATCCACCCAAAGAACCTGAAGTGTAGCTTCCATAGAGCTGCTGGTGATGGTTACAAATACAATTGTCTGTACCTCACTTTTCACAGACAGACCTTTCTGAAAATGATTTCTTGACTAGAAGTGACATTTGCTCGGCAGAACGCTTCCTTTTCAGTCCATGTCTGTCACACAAGAGCCACAAGCCTAACAAATATGACTTGTTCAACCTTTCTTCTCTTTGTGAATGCACTTTCAGAACTTTGCCAGAGTGAAGATGCAAGTGACCATGTCCCTTTCTTCGCTGGTGGGAACGTCTCAGAATTTTAACGAGGAGTTTCTGCGTCGCTCTCTAAAGACCATCCTCACCTACGCAGAGGAGGACCTGGAGCTCAGAGAGACCACGTTCCCAGACCAGGTACTGAGTTATCCATAACATACATTTTAGCTTCTGTCCATCACAGTGTAAAAAAAACTCTAGACTGACTTATTATTCATACTAAATTAACAGATTTTGACTTGTGGTAGCAATAACTCAAGATCTCTATTGATCAGGGTCATTAAAAACCTGGAAACGTCATGGAAATTCAAAATGCTAATTCCAGGCCCTTGAAAAGTTATGGAAAACAATATTTTTCCCAAAGTTTTGGAAAAGTCATGGAAATGTAACTAAAGTTGCATCAAATATAATTTATATTGTATCTAATCGCCGAAATAGTAATACTATAACGATAATAAATACTGTATCGTATAGCAATGAAACGTAAAATGTAATTTAACTGACGAGGTATTTTGCTGGTGAGAGATTTGAGTTGCTTTAGCGTGTAGAAGTTGGTAAGCCAACTATTTGATTTGTTTTAGATAGGCACAACATGTATCAGACCTTATTTTCCTGTTCCATGTTCAAATAAACAATTTTCAGTGGTACCACTGAGAGAGTAATTTTTTTGGTCATGGAAAATGAGGTAACGGTCATGGAGAAGTCATTGAAAATCATTGGTGAAAAAGTGTATGAACCCTGATTAATGATCTGAATCCAGGTCCAGGACCTTGTGTTCAACCTGCACATGATCCTCTCTGACACGGTGAAGATGAAGGAGCACCAGGAGGACCCTGAGATGCTGATAGATCTCATGTTCAGGTAAAGAAAACAAGCACACCCCCTCCTCTTAATCACTTAAACATGTATTGCTGCACTGCGAGCATCCTCATCTCTCTGTCAGTGTTTAGTTCTTATCTTTGCGATGTGTCTGTGTCTCCAGGATTGCAAAGGGCTACCAGACGTCTCCGGACCTGCGGCTGACGTGGCTTCAGAACATGGCGGGCAAACACTCGGAGAGGAACAACCACGCTGAGGCGGCCCAGTGTCTGGTGCACAGCGCCGCTCTGGTGGCCGAGTACCTGAGCATGCTGGAGGACCGCAAGTATCTGCCTGTGGGCTGCGTCACCTTCCAGGTAGGAAACGCACTGGGTACATGCATGGTGTAGACATGCCTGGAAACAACGGTCTGCTGATGTGTGAGCTTCTATTTGTTCATTTGTATACAGAACATTTCCTCCAACGTGCTGGAGGAGTCTGCAGTCTCTGATGATGTGGTGTCACCAGATGAGGAGGGCATCTGCTCGGGGAAATATTTCACGGAGATCGGCCTGGTGGGACTCCTGGAGCAGGGTGCTTCTTCTTTTTCCATGGTGAGAAGGGTATATGGGTCATAGGTTGAATGGAGGTTGACAATCATGCAAGTGGCTTCCTCTTTCTCTCACCCAAAATAATGCTTTTTGCTACGTATCCAAAATATAGGTCTTAGAATATATGTACATTTGGGAGTAACAGTCACTTCCCGGATAGTAACATGCAGTATATTCATCCTGAATCATCGTATCAAAGACCTTTAAGCTAAAATAAATGTACAAAGGCTGTCAGATGTTTGTGGAACTTTTTAATGAGCTTAATTTAGGCCCTAATTCTCTTAAAATCCCTAATTTAAGCGTTGGTATTTGTTCTATCACTGCTGATTGTATCATACTAACGTTTGTCTTGATCTCCCCCTCAGGCGGGCATGTATGAGGCGGTGAATGAAGTTTACAAGGTGCTGATCCCTATCCATGAAGCCAACAGGGACGCAAAGAAGTTAGCTGCCATTCATGGTAAACTGCAGGAAGCCTTTGGCAAAATTGTGCATCAGGTAATCACACACACACACACACACACACACACACACACACACACACACACACACACACACACACACACACACACACACACACACAATGTGAATTAATTGAGTATTAAAAACAGAAAAGCATGTTCCAAGATGATCACTCAATATGAACACCGAAAAAACGAACCAACACAAATGTTTTGCACTGCTACTTTTCTCTCATGTATTATGTGTGTCCCATTTATCGGACCATGTATATTCAATTCCTTCTGGCAGGATCTTATAGAAAGAGAAATGTCACAAAATGAATGTCATGTATAAAAATGCTTCAGAATACTTATCAATCTTCACGGCCTTCACACAAATACCGCAGTAGCAACACCAGACACTGGAAATATCCTGTTGATGTTGCTGCCTAGCACAACACAGCTTTGCATGCTCATATTATTTGGCATTTTATTTCCTGTTTACATAATTATAAATATTTATCAGACACCTTGCATGTTTGATATGTCAAGTGTGAGACAGGATGCATGTGTTGAGGGAAGGCACTCCTGCTGTGGGTTGTCTTAAAGGTGTTTGACTCCTGATGACGAGGGGCAGAGCAACTCTTCTCTAATAGCCAACAATTATTACAAACAAAGTATCCATCATCTATACTATAAGTGGCTATTTTGTGTTTCTGTCAGTTGCTCTGTTCTCCAGCCCAACAGCTAGTCACCTGGATCAGTATTAAAGAGTCCTTTCTCCTTGCTGCGACATCACTGTGTGTGCCAAAGCAACACTGTGTGTGTGTGTGGGGTGTTTGTGTGTTGTGTTCACTTGTCCTGTATTCTCTTTGTCACACAGAGTACTGGCTGGGAGGTAGGTGGCTAAACGGTTCCTGCTTGGGCCTGCTTGTGTTTTCATGTTTTTAGTTGACTCTCATCTCTTTATTTACTAGCTGTGGGCACTTTGCTTTGTGACATACAGCCACTCCATTAACATCTGCAGGCAGTCTGCCCCTTGCTGTACAAGCAGCATCTTCCTCACTCATCTCCCTCTCTCCTCCTTCCTCCTCCTCTTCATGTTCAAGAGGAGCCTTGTTTTTATAACAGTGTTGGCAGGCTGTGCATGGAGCCACCGTGTGTGACTCAGTGTCAGTGAATGCATCACCTGCACACTCCCTGTCCTCATCTCCTGTCTGTGTGCTGCTGTGTCAGTCACAACACACTCATTGACTGACACGCTGTCACATTTCATCTCATCTTCCAATCACAGGGCTCGATTTCAGTGTGAAGGGTATCTGTTCTAGCCAGTGGTCATCTTCGACACACAGCAATAAATGGAGAGTTCTGCAGACTTGAGTTGAAGCTGGAACCAAATCCCTGAGGCGTTCAGGTTCAACTGTCAGTCATCTCAGGATTTACCTGATTATCCCTTTTTGATTTCCATTACTTTTTATTATTGCCCTTTAATTAATAGTTCAAACTAAATCGACCCCTGATTTTTTCTTTTCCCTCCATTCTGTTCTTCCGTTAACATTTTTCACCTCTGAGTCGGCATGGTATGTTGCATGAAATGGCCACTCAGAGAGAGCATGCTGTGTTTCTGAAGGTTGTGGATCTTTATTTTCTCACTTTTCGTTCTTCATAACTGACTGTCTCTGCATGGTCTGGATCCTTCACAACCACTTTATGTTCTTTCTCAAACTCAATTCAGATATTTTTGTTGTTATGTATTTTGTTTTTTGAGATTCTCTGGGGAAACCCAATCCTTATTAAAATTTGCTCTGTTTTCTCCTTTTTGATTACCCTGGTTGCCGACCCTTCCTTCCCACTTTACTTAATTTTGTCTTGGGGTAAGTTCTTTAGTTTTTAAGGGCCTTTTTAAGAAAAACTATATTTTTGATGGAGCAGTTGCAGTGAGCTGCCTCGACCTTGCAGTTACCAAGGGCGATTATTAAAGGTCCCATGTCATGGCCATTTCCACTGATCATAATTCCATTGTTGAGGTATACTAGAATAGATTTATACTGTGCAATTTTCAAAACTCACATTGGTTTCTCATACAGCATCTCTGTAAAGTATGTGTATTCACCGGTATTCACTCTCTGTCCTAAACGGCTTGTTGGAGCTCCTGCACCCCCCCGCCCTCCCTGTGAGCCCAGTGTGCTCTGATTGGTTGGGACGTTTGCGAGGCTCGTTGCTGCGAGGAGCAGACAGGCTTCCGTGTCGGCGATACAGGAGAACAAGCGAAACTAATCCTGAGCACACACAAACACTCACAGCCGAAGTAAAAACAATAAGTGTGGCTTGGTATTGAGTAAGAAAAAGGTTTATAAACGCTGTGAGAATGGGTCTGCGGAGAGCATTTCTCCGCGATCCCAATGTAGTAGCACGAAAAACGTTTACCCATTCAAACAGTCGTGGTAGATACCTTGTTTGTTTTAAACATCATAAATACACAAACAACAATGAATACTTACAGGTTGTGTACCCGAATCTCCCGCTGGTCCAAACAAAGTACTGTTCCAAACAAGAGTGGAGGAACAGCATCGTTTCTTCAGTGCCCCCTACGCTGTACATATCCGGCATGAATCGCTGAAAGGTTTGGGAAGCTTTGTTTCGTGAAAGGCTGGCAGAGGGTGTGGCCTCTGGGTATCCCCACGTCAGAGTACCCAGGAAGTAAAGAATGGAAAATGAGAAATCGCCAACGAGGCGTTTTGGGGAGGTCTTTTCTGTGTTAGAGTTTTACTCCCTACAGGGTGTACTTTGAGGGTTTTTGACTCTGCACACCGTTTACATGCATACAAACCTTCATAACACACAAGGGGACGGGTAATAACCGGAAAAGCATGACATGGGACCTTTAAATGGTATTTTCCGAGCAAAGCAAACCTACGCAACCCATCTACAGCTTCTCCCTTTCTCTTGTTCTATATATACACACACACACGCACACACACACACACACACACACACACACACACACACACACACACACACACACACACACACACACACACACACACACACACACACAGACACACTTGCAAACACTCATCAAAACCTGCTGTGCTTTGTGACTTTAAGTATACTCTATACAGTGAAAATGCTTTATGGATGCATGCAGAGGTCTGTGCAGGACACAGGTCAGAGTTCCTGGATTGAATGGCCATTGTTCTGCCGCTGAATGCAAATACATCCTATAATGTCACAGAGTTAAGGCATCACTTTAGAACAGTCAGCCATTGTTGTTCTGCAGAGCGTCGTGTGCAGTGTTTCGTCTCTTCTCTGTCTCTGCTCATGACTCTTGTGACTGATTGAGTCGAGTTAGGTCTGCTAAGGTCTTCCCTCCCATATGATGCAAACATATAGAAGTCAGAGTTGAAGTTGTTTTCAATTGAACGACTAATGTTATTTTAGGAGTATTCTTAAGACTTGTTCATGGCATATTCTGCTGGCTGGTAGATGAATATTGTAATGAAGGTTCTTCCTGTTACCCTGAGGTGGAAACACTCCTCTGTGTACTGAGTTTTAAAGGTAGAGGTGGAAAAACCTGCTTATTAAAACAATAACTTGTACAGTGAATGCCAACATGTAATAGCTGCTTTATACTGTGGTAACCTGTGACGGAGGATCATCTGGAGGCTGTTGACCTCCTGTTGGCTGCTTCCTGTCCGACCCTGGTAACCACGGACTAACCACTGAAAGAGACTGCAACAGATCGGACAAATTAAGCAGCAATGTCACTCGCATTCAGTTCCACATGTTATTATGAAAGCTTGCTTTTTATGAAAGGATGAAACCTTGCTTTTAATTTTATTCATTTTCTAAATGCTAGGACTTCTTGTCCCTAACATATCAGCTGATGTCTGCCATTGTTGGATGGACTCATTAGAATATGAAGCCAAGAAAGCGGCATTTGGTTGCAAAATGCTTACTGGTCAACCGTTGTTATAGCAACAGTGATCTGCATATAAAGTTCTCCATTGTTTAGGTTCTGCGCTATATTCGTCTGTTTTGAACAATGGCGTTTTTTAATATCGAAAGTTGTTTCATTTTGACTCTGGGATAAAACAAACACATTTGTATATGTATTTAATTCCTCTTCTTGCTCATTACTGACATGTATGTCCCTCTGCTCGCAGCTCGGGAAGAGAATGTTTGGTACGTACTTCAGAGTCGGATTTTACGGGTCAAAATTGGGCGACTTGGACGAGCAGGAGTTTGTTTACAAAGAGCCGGCCATCACTAAGCTGGCGGAGATCTCTCACAGGCTAGAGGTAAAGTCCACCGCGTAGACTCTAGATTTATCTTTAATACCATTATTCCCCCGAAAGAAAACATCTCTTTGCAATGAAGGATTTGAGTAAAGCCTAATGAGGATCTTTGCTGTTTTTTCTCAGGGTTTCTATGGAGAGAGGTTTGGAGAGGACCAAGTGGAGGTCATCAAGGACTCCAACCCAGTGGACAAGTGCAAGTTGGACCCAAATAAGGTCTGTGTGCAGAGTTTACATTCTCACATTGTTATTCTAACTTTTAGTCTGAGAATCTTTACCAAAGTGAACTCAGCCTTCAAACTAAACCAACCAATACCTTTTCTTTCTGCAGGCTTTCGTCCAGATCACCTACGTGGAGCCGTACTTCGACACGTACGAGATGAAGGACCGCATCACTTACTTCGACAAGAACTACAACTTGAGACGTTTCGTCTACTGCACTCCTTTCACTCTTGATGGGCGGGCGCACGGGGACCTTCACGAACAATATAAACGCAAAACCATCCTCACCACTTCCCACGCCTTCCCCTACATCAAGACACGCATCAACATCATCCACAAAGAGGAGGTGGGACAGGAAGCCTTCATTCTATAGCTACTCTGACATATAACCAACCCGTTAATAAGGGTTTACATCTTATCTCTTACTGTGGATTGATAGCATTCTGGAGATAAGTGGTGATAAAAGTGAGTTAGTTTATCCAACTCGTATCCCTAAAACTGCCTCTCTGTCCCTTTCCAGATTATCTCCACCCCCATTGAGGTGGCCATAGAGGACATGCAGAAGAAGACCCAGGAGCTGGCCTTTGCCACCCACCAGGACCCGGCAGATGCAAAGATGCTGCAGATGGTCCTGCAGGGGTCAGTGGGCACAACTGTCAACCAGGTAGAGTTTGGAGATGTCAGGTTTTTATTGGTACATAGAGTGTTTGAGAAGAAGAGGAGCATAAACAGTGTTATTAGAGGACTTTCTCAGGATAAGGGAAGTTTCAGACTAATATTCCTCCTGCGTGTCCTCAGGGTCCTCTGGAGGTGGCTCAGGTGTTCCTGTCAGAGATTCCCAGCGACCCCAAGCTGTACAGACACCACAATAAGCTGCGGCTCTGCTTCAAAGACTTCACAAAGAGGTAAGAACTGTGCTGATCAGTCCACATACATGTCATGTGTTTAGAGGACGCACTATTTCATGTGGAAGCACACCATAAGGAGAAATTCCGTGATCCATCACCGTAAATAATCAAAATAACGACCATACATAATTATGAGATTGAGTGTTTTGATTACATAGCATTTGGTGAAAGGTGAGCGTCGGACTCACCTACAGATGACAACTTTAACATGAATGAAAATCTTTGATAAGTGTGCAGAGATTCTTTGTCCACGGTAGCACGCATTTATTATTGTACAGAATCCTCATGGCACTATTTTCTTTGCCAAAGGTGTGAAGACGCCCTGCGTAAGAATAAGAGCCTGATTGGTCCGGACCAGAAAGAGTACCAAAGGGAGCTGGAGAGAAACTACCACCGCCTGAAGGAGGCGCTGCAGCCCCTCATCAACAGGAAGATCCCCCAGCTCTACAAACCTGTGCTGCAGGTCAACGCCCACAGGTACGACTGTCTGTGGCGAAGAGGATCATACTGGGGTCTCAACATACTATATACCTATGGTTCTGTTTAACCTTTCTTTGGACGTACTAAACTATGACTTTTTTTTACTATGACTTTCTATGATATTCTCGGCACACTTGAGTTTTTTGTTTTCAACATACTATACTACAGTATGCCAATCTTTTTCCTTTTCCGACATACTGTAACATTTTAAAATGTTTGTGATATTTTACTGTGACTTTTTCGGCATTCTTGACGTTTTTATTTTCAACATACTATATTATGACTTTTTTTACTACATACTATACTTTCGACTATTTTTAACATACTATACTATGACTTTTCATTTAATTTTTTGTTCTTTTTGGACTTACTTTTTCTAATATTCTGTTCTAATAAACCTTCTTCTTCGAGCCGAAAGATGTTGGGTTAATACAGTGGTCAGTTTTGGTGGTCCTAAAACACTTGGAAAGGTTCTTTAAGAAGTCTTATATTATGTAACTTCAGGGTTCCTGTATTTACCTTTACATTTAGTTTTTGGCTGTATAATTAAACAAGTTTTGCTTTTGTAAAAACTATGCAGCAAACGGACAGCTTGACCAGGTAGTTCAGGACTCTCACTACATTCTGTGATGCGGTTTTACGTCTCTCTGTCCTGTGTTTGTATTATTCACGTACAATGCGTCCTTAGAGTCTGGTTATTCTCACCGGCCATATTTCTTTTTTTTAACGGGACAGTAAATATCAGATAGGCCAGCCCTACGTTGCTTAGACTGCGCTGGAATCCCAGTTATTTCCCCCAAATCACTTGGTTGTCTGATGAAAGAAATCTGATATTTGTCTCAATTAAATCATGTTTCTTGTTTTTCTCATTTCCAGGGATTCCTTCAGCAGGATGAGTCTTCGCAAGCTTGACATTTGAAGATGAAGAATACACACGCGCGACAAATTGCAATATTAATTTATTATTGAGTGTAAATAGGAGTGTTTTGAAGGTTGGACAGTGTTTTGGAAAACATGCTAAAAAGAGAGGCTGAAATGTTGCAGCTTGTTCCATTTGTTTACAGACAAACTGTTACACCGCGAGAGAGACGGACACGTGGTTCTGGAGATTAAAGAGGTACCTTGGCATTTAGGATTTGACTTTGCTGGCCATGAGTCAGACAAAGGGACACATCTTTGTATTTATCCCATGCTTCCGCTCAATGAAAGCTCATAATGTAAACCTTTACTTTTAAACTCAGCAGCCTGCTGGATGCAAACTAACAAGCAGACCATAATAACCCTTTGTTGGTTATTAAAATGCCAAAAGTAACTGTTCTGCCAATCAGTCTGCAGGAAAGGTACAATTTTAAAGTCAAGGTGTCTTTTTAATTATATAGTGTGTCAAAAATCTGTATCCAATTTAATGTGCACTTTTTTTATTACGGTGTAGCAATGCATTTTACAACTTGAACGTTGATCTAATTCAGAACGGGATGGTGAAGAGGAAAAACATGCAAAAACGGTACCATTATTTATCATGAGGCTTTATCATTTTAGTTGAAAGAATGTTTTTAAAGTTAGGTACTTTAAACTCCTTGTATAATTTTATGTAGTTTTGTTTATTTTAAATATTTTACAAAATAAATATTTTAATGTTCAGCTGGGTGTGCTTCTTGCTTCTTTGTGTTGTCGTGGGTAACAGAGTTTGAACAGACAGAGAATGTGAAGGTAAAAAGTTTATTGCTTATAGAATGAACCCGTCAACATGAATATTACAGCTGGAATGAGGTTTGAAGAGATGACACACATTAAAGCAGATCTGTAAGCGGTGTGTTCTATCCCAAAAGACCCCATGTATATATGATTTATACTGAAATGCATCCCATAATGGGATCCCAAGCTTAATAACTGATTCACTCCCTGAAACCGTAGAAACACAGTGGCCGTTTCTCAATGTCGAGTAAAGCTGCTGCAGAGCCACTATGTCATCGAGTGGCGCCGAAGGACTGTTTCAGTGCATGTTAAATGCCCAGCATTCGGCGCCACTCGATGACGTGGTATACTTGAAATAGTGGCTCTGAAGCAGCTTTACTCGACATTGAGAAACGGCCTCTGATGTACAACCTGAGATGAGAAATGTCAGCTTGCCGGTATAATGTTACCTGACTAATAATATTACACTAAGTGATGCTTGTTAAAAGCACTGGAGCACAAATAATGAACTTCCTGTTGAGTGTTTTGAGTGTTCACAGGAACAGATTTACAAGTTTGAGGAGCAAATGTGAATTTACCAAAGCTATCAAATCCATAACTTAGATGTTCGCTTTCAGTCTTATAAATCTGACCCTGAACTCCATTGTTGTCTGATAGCTAGCGGTTCAAATGCTTTGGCTTAAACAAACGCTCTCACTGAGAGGAACTCCACTGAACTCTATATCAGGAAACATACCCGTTTAAAGCGAGATCCAGATTTCAGGTCTTAGTTAGCACATTCAAGCTGTAAAGGTTACACACTAAATTAGATATAAAAGAGGCAGTTTTTTATAATGTCTTAAATGTATCTTTAAAAAAAACTGGATAGCTTATTTATAGAAATATGTTGAACTTGTATGCATCTTCTTCGTGAGACACGCGGCGGCCTGCGTATAGCTTGACTCAACATCTCCGTTTGATGTCAAATGCTATAATTCTAAATGCCACAACTTAAACACTATAGGTTTTATAAGCAGTCTGTAGATATGTTACAAATACATCTTAAGGAATGAGTGCAAAACAGATTCAAAGTTGGTGGGCAAAGATTTTACTTGAAAAATATTTCAGGAAAGAAATGCTCCATATTGTTATCTCTAACTTCATGAATCATTCTCTGTCAATAATAACAATATCTATGTTCTCTAGTTGAGTAACTGATTCCAAACAAACAGCACTGACTTCTAATTCATGGATTTCAGAACAGTATCGTGTTAGAAAAAGACATCTCAACGCATTCCATTGGAGTTGAGTTCTAAAGTGCTTTTTAAAATGTGTAAAAAGGAACCAAACTCAATCACTGAGAAAACACAACAGGACGTTAGAGACATGACGGTAAAGGAAAAAAGACAGGTCACATCCCAAAAAAAAGAGGCTCAAAAAGTCATCACGGAACATAGAAGTTCCTGAATGTCCCCTCCCTGCAGTGAGGAGGGTCCTGACTGTCCCCTCTGCAGTGAGGGGGGTCCTGACTGTTCGCTCTGTGGAAGAGTCTTCAGTTCAGGTGTTACCATGGCAGCCACAGTATGATTGGCACTGTCTGTACTTTGCCTGGGTGCACGGCTGCCAAAAAGCCCCCGGAGTAAACCGCGTGTTCCCGTTAGGGCTCAGGCATCCTCCTGTAGAACAGCAGGTAGGGGGTCGAGGAGGAGGACGTTTCTGGAGAGCAGGCCTGCAGGAAGTCCTGTTCCTCAAACAAGCGCACCTCAGAGTCATCGAACAGCAGCCATTTGCCCTCGTAGTCCAGGAGGTTGTGCAGAGCCTCTGTGGCCCCCGCCCCCCCACAGGAGGTCTCCTCTCCTGCTTCAGAGTTCTGTCCCGTGACAGGTTTCCTGCGCTTGGACCCCTCTGTGGCTCCACTGCTGGAGGATTTCTCCGACTGTTTGCCGCTGCTCCCAATGTCACAACTGGTCAGACTCCTCTGGCCCCCCAGGAGCCCGACCCCCCCCTCCAACAGCTTCTTCCCTACTGTTTTAGCCAAACTAGCCCCTCTCTGTCCCCTGGCATTCAGGCTGAAAGACACCTCTCCATCGTCAAATTCCGGCCCTTCCTCCTTCACCCTCGTCGTCTCCTCCTCCTCCCTTTCTCTCTGCTCCCACAGCTTCACGTCCTTCAGCTCAGACATGCGGCAGTAGGCGGTGTAATGGCCGCTGCTGATGGTGATGCCGCTGTGCATGACCACAGCGAACAGCTGATAGCGCAGACCCTTAGTGGACGAGGGCCGGGTGCACCACTCCTCCAGAGACAGGGTGAGGGGGGTCTGCAGGGGGGTGTTCACTTTGGACAGCCCAGCATACGGGTCCAAACTAGGAGGGGAAAAAGGGAGATGGGTTAATATCTGTGATAGGGATTTTAAAAGTGACACTGTAAATAAATAACACAAAAGTCCAAGTGTGTCATGAAAGTGTCATAATAAACACTATCAAACATAATAACATTTCAGAAAGTCTTCATATTTTACACAATAAAAATGTCATAAAAAGTCTACTAAGTATAGTATGTCATATTTCTTTAAAAAAACAAACATAAAATATCAAAGAAATTGCCACAGTATAGTATGCCTTGAACAGTAGAAAAGGTGCTAGGATAGTGTGTGTTTTGAATTGGGAAGAATAATCCTCTTGGTATACAATAATAGTAATTCAATGTAAAGGAACTATAGTCTGTCTTAAAGGTGGGTAGGTAAGAATGGAGAAACCAGCTCGAGTGCGCTAAAATTTGAAAATACACAACCGGAAAAAATCTGCCCCTTCCTTCAGACTTCCTTACAGAGCCCCTCCTCCAACACACACGAACGCGCACATGACCAATGAGGGCACGAGATCAGTTTGTGCACAGATGGAAGGCTGACAGGCAGGTAGGCCATCCAGTTATTTTAGCCGGGCCGGCTAAAATGATTGGTCGTACTTTTTACAGTCCTATGGCTTCCACAGATGAAATTCTTTTATGTATTTATTGTCAAAGCATTTAATGTATTCATTGCTATTGGGATGTTAAGAGCATTCCATGGAATATAACAAAAAGTGTATCTGAAGTGAATTATCTACCCCACCCAGTGTTTCCCCTCGGTTTACTGCCTTGGCAGGGTGCTGCCAAAAAATGTTTGGAATTTTTTTTATCCTCTGGAGCAGAGAGAGGAGCTGTGGATTATTGTTATGGTTACCGTACAGTAACAAAGTATTTGTACATTAAAAAGTAATAAAGTACAGTGTTACACTGTATTACTTTTATTTTAACTGTATTCCCTTCTTATCATGTGTCCTACACTTCTTCCTCTCATTGATACATTTAAATCACCTGACTACAGCAGCGCGTTTCCACTGCAGCGCGGAGCTCGTTTTAAGCGTGCCGAGCCGTGCGGGGCCCGTTTTTGGTTGCGTTTCCACTTGGCCTAGTACCGGCTAGCGGGTCCTAATTCACAGTTCTACTGGCCCCATAAAATCATGGTTCTAGGGCCAGGAACAACCAGACTGAGTCGGGCTGAGTATGCTAAACTAGAGAGAGAATCGCTGGCAAGGGGGCTATAACTACAACAAGAGGAACATATTTGANGCTGAATGCTAAACTAGTGACGTAAACACTCTCGACTGCTGATTGGTCAGAGAGAATCGCTGGCAAGGGGGCTATAACTACAACAAGAGGAACATATTTGAGCGTGATTTAATTGTAATACACATTTCAAAATGATGTCGAAGTAACAACATACTGATACCGTTTAGTAAAAACCATGAATTAATGCTTTGACAAGTCTGCAGACAGACGGCAGGCGAAAAACCTTTTAAAATGCGTGTTGTCTGAATGGAGATCGGCTAAGCTAACGTTGTAAATGCTCCGACCGTCCACACTCACAACAACGGCCTATAGACATAAATAAACCAGCGACTGTATTCACCATGACAGACAGTCTGTGGTTTGTACTTCAGTGTTTCCCCTACCATTGTCTTGGCGGGGCGCTGCGCCCTGCCAACGGAGCTCCGCGCCCCGCCTGAAATTCAAGGTGTTTTTTTTTATTTAAAAAATATATATATATAGCACCAAATTGCAACTGAAGTNATCTATCTACGGGCACTTTTCACATTGAACATGTGCCCTTTTATTAAATAAACTAAACGCCATGTTATTTATCCAATGTATGTGCATGTTTCAGTGTCCACTGCTTTGCATATTCACATTCTCCCTCCGCTCTGTTTCTGAAGGGCCTGCTGCTGCTTCTCTCTGCCTCATCATCTATTGCTGGAGGCAGCTCCACATCATCTGATCTCTGATATGAGAGCAATCGTGTTATGATCATATTGAGCTATTGGTGTGAGTCTAACATTAAACAAGCAGTCTGCTGTTCATACATTGCTGACGATATATTTTAAGAGGCAATTTGTTGAGTCACTGCCGCTAAATCGCGGTAGCATCAAGTTAGCAAATCCTGCATTAGCCTCACATCAACAACAAGTGACAGAACATCCAATTATCCTGAGCTCATTTACTGAATAAACCAACTCACATCTCCTGTCTTTTTTTTCACCCAACTCATTAGACTATTCTTCTGCTGGCGTTTCATTGTTGTTTTCTGTCAAATTCAATACTGTAGTTCAGAACCGCGGTACCTGCTCACCATCTGTGAGCTATTTTTAGAATGCGTTAGCGCGCGTCCACCTGGGCAGGCTGTGTGTGTCCTTCTCCCGTCACGATAACAGCTTGAGGTTAAAAAAATAATAATAAACAAATTTGAAACTGGGGGTACACACAAACGGGCAGACAGCAGAGCTCGGGGCAATAATGCAGATTTGTTTGACTTTTTTACACTTTGTTGTTCTCCTCCTTTCCTCCGCTCTTGTCTCTGATTGTGAGTGTGTGTGTGTGTGTGTGTGGGGGGGGAGCGGGGGGAGCGCCCATCAGAAACAGAGCGGAGGGAGAATGTGAATACGCAAAGCAGTGGACACTGAAACATGCACATACATTGGATAAATAACATGGCGTTTAGTTTATTTAATAAAAGGGCACATGTTCAATGTGAAAAGTGCCCGTAGATAGATTACTTCAGTTGCAATTTGGTGCTTATATTTATTTTTTTTAAATAAAAAAAACACTTTGAATTTCAGGCTGGGCGCGGGGCTCCATTGGCAGGGCGCAGCTCCCCGCCAAGACAATGGTAGGGGAAACACTGACACCTTTAATGTGATGATATGATGATTGCAATATACTAGGCCACGAGAAAGTACAGAAGGTCAAACATTGTTATAGCACACAGTTCTCCTGAACTCACTCGCAGCCGTTGGCAGAGAAGCGCTTCAGGTGGATGGTGATCACTTCAGGAGTTTTGTCGAACAGCAGGCTCCTCTCGGCCTCGGTGTAGTGGTGACACGTCTCACAGAAGTATTTGTCCTCCCCGACGATTCGCTCCACCGAAGCAAACTGACCAATGGCCCACTTCAGAGTCTTCAGCTCCGGTTTGGGATCAGGAGAGACTGTGGGGAGAGAGAATAACACTCAGTAAATTATTATCAGTTATTCTTTTTCATCTGAATCGTTATCTGGAAGAAAATCTGTAGAGATACGTTTGAATTCAAATTGTATTTGTCAAAAGGTGACCTCAAAGAAAACCTCAAGAATGTGTTTGTCATGACCCACTTCACCCATGCTTAGAGCTTTAAATAAATCATGGTAGAGGGACTTCCATTAGGAACGAGTGCAAACTGAATATAAGCTGAAGGGCCCCTCACCCTCAGAGAGGTCGTCGGGGCTGCTGGGCTCCTCGTCCAGCACGGGGACGCTGATGTCCTGGAAGTCTTCTCTCCTCTCAGTGAAGCTCTCACACTCCAGGCAGCGCGTCCTCAGCACCAGGCAGCCCTGGAACAGCTGCTCCATCAGGTCCAGCCCCTCTGGAGAGAGAGAGACTTAGAGGATTAGAATGTCCTATACCTGGCCATATAGATTTCCAATATCAAATCAATGCTTGTTATGTTTCTCCTCTGCTAAAAGCTCTCGTCCTGTTCCTCTAACAGTAATGATGTCGTACCTTGAGGTTCAGCCGTCTTCTTGTCCTCAGCCGTGTGTCCTGCTCTCTCCTCGCTGCTCCTCTCGGTGGAGACAGTGTTCTCCGGCTCTGCTTTGCTTTGGTTCTTCACAGAGCTGATCTTCCCCACGCTGAGGAACTTGGAGAAAATACTGGGTTGTTTCCCAGAAGGCCTCAGCCAGCTCAGCTTAGACTTCTTCTTTCTTTTCCCCTCTGCCTCTTTTGAGGCCTTGTCGCCTCTCCCCTCCCCGTCACTCCCCTCCTCCTTGTTCAGTATCTTCGTCCCTTCCTCCTCCTCCTCCTCTCCATCTTTGTTGTCCACCGTGATTTCATTCAAGGACTTCCTCTTGGAACGAGTGAGGGGTTTATTATCCCCTGCATCAGATTTCTTGGCCTTGAGGGATTTCGGCTTCTTTTTGGCATTTCCCACCTCGGTGTCGCTCTTCCTCTTTCCGCTGACCTGGCCGTCCTCTTCTTCGGTCACGGTGCTGCTGGCCGCTGAATCAACAGCGTGCTCAGGTTTCACCTCAGATTCCTCTGAATCCTCTGTCTTTAAACTCTTTCTGATGGTGTCACAAGCCTCTTGGATATATCCCAGGATGCACTGCAGGACCTCCTGGGCGTCGTGCTGAAGATAGCCTTCGTACATGGGGTTCAGCTGCCTGCAACACACAAAGTCAGGTTACAATTGGTTAACTTGTAGAAAAACTATTATTCTTGAAACTATTTTAACGACTTATATAAGAAGTCTTTGATTCTGACAGATAATGTCCTCATTGTCGGTCCCATCAGAGGCTCTGATTGGTTCCCCTGCTGGAAATATCCATTCACAAGACCCACCCATTGCTCTAACAATAGGTGGCATCATTAAAAGCATTTGATAGGCCTAATGTAATTAGTCGTTTGATTGGCCATAGTACAAAGTTAATTATGATATTCACAATACAATATATTAAACTAGCTTATCTGCTCAGCTACAATACATGGTTAACGGGAATACTTAAATACAAATATTACTTTAGATTTGTTTTAGCTTGTAAAAAATGAAACATTTGCTGTTGTTTTAGTTTCCATTGCTGAAAAATAAAAATGGTTTTCATTAAAAGGGTAGTTTAAGACATGTGTATGGATCGTGTTTACAGTGCGTAGAAACACCACTTTGATTAGAAATGAGCCATCTTACTATTTAAACTAGGGGTGCACCGCATGGGAAATTCTTGGCCGAAACCGATACCGAAAATAGGAAACAGTTGGCCGAAAACCGAATGCCGAAAATGATTAATAGAAATATATAATATTATAATACTATATAAATATATATATATAGCGTTAGTATAGATATATAATGTATACATTTTTTTACCATGTTGTTCAGTCTACCTGATTATGGAAAAATACATGATTTGGGCAAAACTTAACTTAAATAATAATACTTAACTATTAATGGGTCCATAAAACATTTATTCAGCAACTTTTGAATGCATACAGTACATTTAATTCCAAGTCAGTGCATTTTCTTTTCTCTGTAGGATAACTACAACCAAATCTCATTCAGAACACAAGGCCAAGGTGTGCTTTAAAACCTGCATAAACATCTAGGCCAGTAGGCCCTACAACCAACTAGTGTAAATAAAAGACCCTGTAACAGTCCAGGGCTTCAACAAACAAACAAATGCACCTATAAGTGCATGCATACAAATGTGGCAAACTGGATAAATCCATGAATGCATAACTATTTACAAATGAAATTAACATTGAATTTCAATGAATCTGTAAATAAGGCCCTTGTATGTCTCATAAGCAAAGTAGGTAAACATTTGTATAAAGATACATAAAGTAAAAAAACGATACAAAATCCAGCAATCAATTACAAATTAATTACAATTTCAAGAATCTGCAAATACAGGTGGTCTGTCCTCATGAGCATATGTAAACAACATTGTATTACTTAGATACCGGAAAGTACAATATATTGACACTGTGCTTGCTGTCATTTCCCCTAATGATAACCTGAGGATGGTGGAATTATAACTCACAATGAAAATTTTCCAGGAAAGTGGTATGAGTGACATGTAGCAACGTTAGATAATTAGCTTATGATAAACCAGACCTTGTCTACTATTGGATAAGTTGGGAGGTTCGTTTTATGATACAGTGTGAAGCA